AAAAGACAATGGATCTGCAAAAAGATCAATATTTGTATGTTCTTCACTTACTTGAAGGAAGATGTGATCCTTCCACTATTTGCCATGTTGCCTTCTTTCTCTCAAAGGATATCTCATTTCACTTGTTGAAGAACATTCACCTTGTTGCACTCTATGTTCCTTTCTAACCGTCTTCTCTCTTAAATCTTGCCATTTCTCACTCAATGGTTGATATTCTTCATCATTATCATCATCTCAATCTTCAACATCTTCATTTCTTTCATTGCTTGTCCTAGAAATTGTAGGAGCCTTCATCTTTTCAACCTACTTTGGCTTTTCATCTTCATCAACTTTATTATCTTCATCTTCTTATTTCTTTGCTAAATTCAAAGATGTGTCTAGAAACACACCCTTACTCCCACTTGGACACATCTCTAAGTGCTCACAAGCACTCTTGTGCTCCAAAAACTCAACATCACAACTTTTGATGATCTTCTTGGTTTCCAAGCACATTAGTTTATATGCCTTAGTACCTTCACAATACCCAAAAAACATACACTTTATACCTTTTGTATCAAGTTTGGACCTTATAAAATCTGGTGTTTTTGCATATGCAATGCAACCAAAGGTCCTCATGTGGGAAATGCAAGGTTTTCTTCCACTCCAAGCTTCAAGAAAAGAAGTCTAAAAGCTACAAACACTTAGCATCAGCAAGGATTGTACTCTAAGAGAAGTGTCGAGAAAGATAACTCTTACTTCTAATACCTTTTACTTATAGATGGAGTTTACATCTCAAGTACATAGACTTCATCCAAAGTCACCTTCATCCTTTCAACTAGATCTAGATTCATCTTAACCTAGCCGCCACCTTAAAACTCTAGCCGCTGCTATAATAACTTTTGCTATCTTTTGACTATTAACAATTTATTATGATTAATCTTCATGTGGTGGTAACTAAATAAGAACTTGCTGATCTTTAACAAAGTCAACATTTTTTTAGAGGTCCTATAGAACCTAAGTAGATGGTATACATAGAAGCAAGAGTAAAGCTTTCTTCACTCTTGTCAATTCTTTTCTTATTTCTAATCTAATTTTAAGAGTCTCTAGTTTCTCTATCTTTTAGCCATAGCCATTTCAATTTTCTTTTTAAGATACATACTTTTCTATTTTTATTTTTTCATATTTCTTTGAGATAGCTTCACTTATTTATTTGTTTTTATTGAGTTCTTATCCTTGACAATATTAGCACATATTCTAAATTGCTGCCAAGTCCATTGAAACATATCTTTATTAAGATTTAAATTCAAGATTACTTACCTACTAAAAAAACCAAGATTTACTAAATATCCTTTTCAAACGTTCTTATCTTATATCAAAAATAAAAAATAAAAAAATAAAAAAATACAACTCTTCATCAACAACAAATCATTCTTTAGAAGTCATAATAATTTCATGTTTGAGCAATGAAATCAAGACTAACTATTGATTCAATATTTTTTAATCAATTTAAATAAAATATTTTTTTAAATCTTTTTATTTATGATATTAAAAATAATTCTTATAAATCTAATAATATTTTTGGATTTGAATTCAAGAAAAATCTTCTTTATTTTGAGAGATGCTTATATATTCTAAAAGGTGTAGCATAACTACATACTCTTTATGCTTGTCATAGTTTTTTAATTACAAGATATTTTAAATATAACAAGACCTAAGATTTAAAATTATTATATTTTTAGAAATTTTTAATATAAAAAATAGTTAAAGACTTTGAACAATCATATAATATTTGTTCAAGATAAAAAAAATTCTTATCATTGACCTTATGGACTTTTACAACCATTATCAATACTAAAACAACCATGGTCTTATATTTCAATTGGTTTTATCACAAATCTTTTAATTTTAAGTTCTTATGATTTTATATTTTTAATATTAAATTATTTCACTAAAATGGCATATTTTATATCATATACAAAAACTATCATAAGTGAAGAAACAACTAATTTTTTCCTTCATAATAATTATTATTATCATAAATTAACAATAAATGTTACATTAAATAAAATGACTCAATTTATATCAAAATTTTGGAGAATTCTTTTTTAGATATTGAAAATGGATGTAAATTTATTTTTTATTTTTCATCCACAAATTAATGGACAAATGACATAAAAGATAAGAAGGTAGTAAAAAACTTAAATGGTTTGGCAAGGAAAAATTATTGCTTAAAAATTAAGACCTATGTTAGAAAACAAAGACAACAAAATTGGAGAGTTTTAGAAGTTTTTTCTCTCAATAGGTGAGTTTGATTTTCTTCAATATTTGAAATGTGGATGAAATTTTAGTTGAGATCATTAATTCAATTAATAGTTATTGAGATTTTAAAATAACTTTAGAAATTAGTTAAGATTTATTTAGGATTTATTAGGATTAATTAGGATTTGGTGAGGATTTGGTGAGATTTTTTAAAGATATCTTAGAGTTTTATGATATTTTGTTTAAGGTTTCATTATGATTTTATATGAATTTATTTAGGATTTTATTAAGATTTTTTTAAGATTTATTTAAGACTACATGAGGATTTGATTAGGATTTACTTAGAATTTTTATTTTGAATATATTTTTAGGATTTTTTTATATTTCTTTTAGATTTTTATTTTTAACATTTATTAAAGATTTTTTAAAAGAATAATATATAATTTCTTTATATTACTTTTATAAATAAAATAAAAAAATAATTAAAATTTAATCAAGATTTTTAAAATTTAATTAGAATTTATTCAAGATTCTATTATATTTGATAAGACCTTATTATTGCAATTTCCTATTTATCTTCTACAATTTAGTATCTAATATAATTTAGTATTTATCTTCTCAAGCAAGAATTTACTTAATATGACATTGCCAAAATAGATTAGAATATTTTATACATTAGCATAGATATGATTTTAGTGAATACACATAGGAACTAACTAAAAATATTATAAGTACAACAAAAAATATTGATATTTTTCATTGCCTACATCTATCAAAATAAAGATGAAGAGTCAAATAATTCTTTGCTTTAAAAGAAATAAGGTTTAATAAAGATTTATCATAGATGTACATAATTATCAAGATAAAAAGTATTAAGAAGAAGATTTGATACTATCTTATGGAGAAGCTTCCTAGAAGCTATATACACATAGATTTAATTTTATATAAGTTTGTAATTGGTTGGTAGGTTAGAAACATGACAACCAAGTTTATCATGCATCACACATGTGAATGACTAATGGTACTAGTTGGTTATATAGCACACATGTAGGAAATTTATTTTGCAAGTTAGATATGTGTCTTACAAGTTAGACACATGTCAAAGGTCATATAGAATACTACCACATAGCTCTTAATTAGATGGTATATATGGATGCAAGAGCACAGGCTCCTCCACTCTTGCTAGTGCCTTATTTGTTCTTAATCTAGTTTCAAGAATCTCTAGTCTTCTAGTCTTTAATAGTAGCCATTTTAGTTCTAGTATTATACTAATTTTGAATAAATATCTACTCCTTTTGAGTGACACAAGAGTGTATTGAGGTTTTTATTGTTTGTAATTCATGTCCTTGACAATACTTTGTTTAATTGATATTAGCTCTTAAAAGAGTTTTGTATTTTTCTTTCTTATTATGATTTAAATAGACAAAAGAACACCTATAAGGACTTAATATTATAGAGTGTAAGATAGAATATATTTTTAATGATATTAAAATCGTCAAGTTATGATATTAGGCAAGTCTTAAGGTGTCTATAAAGATAATTTTTGTATGAGTTTTGGCTATTAACATTGTATGATCAACTTTTAAGTAAATCTTAAATAAAGAAATCTAGACTTGTCATATATCAAAACATATTAATACTTGCCTTATATCATCTTATGACCATGTATGAAATATGATTATGCATATTATGTAATATTTAGTACATGAAGTATACTATATTAAATTATATTGAATATGCTTACAAAAGCCTTGTAATCCGATAGCATTGAAAAGAAGATTAATTCTTAGTTATAAGTCATGGAATTAGTTTAAAAGTAAGTCTTAAGTGATAATATCAATAGAATTCCAAAAAATACTTATAATTATTTAAAAAAGTAAATATGAACTAAAAAATAATGATCAATCTTGATTACTTTCTTTATTTCAAATTCAATTTGAAATAAAAGAACGTATAAAAATAGTTAATGCTATAAATGTGGTATTACAAGTACAATACTTGAAAAAAAAAAAAAAAAAAAAAAAAAAAAACTTTAGACTTGAAATATATGTAAGACTTTAATGATGTAGAAAAATTAAAAAGTTATATTAAAATTAGGGTTTATTTTAATAATAATAATAATTGTGAATTATGTATGAGTTGGTGCTAAATGATGATTGATTTTGTTCTAGAGGTGCGTATATAAGAATTGAAATATAAATATTGTGAAGTTTATTGAAGAAATGATTATGATTTTTTTTAGCCCATATGCTACATAGCAAGAAAGATTATTTTCTTATATATATAGATATATATTTATATATCTATAAAAATAAGACTTCTTTGATTTTAGAATTAATTTCAATGTTACAAATTTCACAAGTCTGTTGTGTTAAAATGTTAAATTAAAAACGCTTGAATGAATGAATTATATTAGATTCAAAAACCGTGCTTATCATCGAGACTTCCATATGGGAACCTTGCCAGTTTCATCCAACTGTAGGAAAAGCAACCAGAACCACGAAAGGGAACGCAAAAGGCTAGCGAAAGTAGAAAGGGGAAGAATCTGAAGGCCCGGGAACGCAGCCGAGAGGGCGTTCGCAAAGAGATTCGCGTCCCCAAGGAGGGGAATCAAATATCTAATGAAGCCAGCCGGGGGGGGGGGGGGGGAAAAAGGCTTAAGGGGGGCTTAAGGATAAGGTTCCCATGCCCGTGGGCCTCGCTCGCTATCACGACATGGGCATTGTGCCTGGTCTCCGTTGCCTCCCTCCGCAATCCTTCAATAAACCCTCCGTTCCGACGAGTTTTCTCTTTTTTGCATCGTCGTCGTCACAGATTAGGTGATGGAAATTCGTTGGCTCTCAACCTTTGCCATGCCTCTTGTAACTAAAAACTGAACAGATGATTCGTAGCCATTTGAACAGAATGACGAATGTTGCGTTCTTTGTGGCTTCAGGGTTTTGGATTTGGATGGATTTTGAGACTAGCAGGGCTTCTTGGAGGGTTTTTTGATGAGTGTGGAGGTTTGAGCTGGGGTTGCAGTGAAGGAAGAGTAGGAGGAGGAGGAGTGGAGGTGGAGGAGGAGTGGAGGTGGAGGAGGAGTGGAGGTGGAGGAGGCGGCGATTTGCAGTGGTTGCTAAGGATTTTAAGGAATTTTGTGAGGGGAGTTGGTTGATTTTGAGTGTGTTGGAGGCTTAGATGTGGTGGTGGATAGGTATGTAGTATAGAGAAGGAAGTGAGTAGGCTGGATAGCCATAAGGCAGATGGCTCTTACAGTCAGGGCAATGGCATCAGCTGCACAAGGTGTGCGTCGTGCGGGCATGTTCTACAGTGACTCGTTGGAGTCATCCAATTTTTATTGTAAGAGTAGGATAAGTGGCAGAGCGAGTGGCGGGGTTGTTTGCAAGAAGGCTCTTGACGGTCTTGTCTGGAAACACTTGAGATGGAATGCGAATTTCAATGCCAATTCACTCCCGAGGAGTCTTGGCAGAACGAGACGTAGAGGTCGGAGTCAAGTTGGCAGCTGGCGTGCTATACAGGTTGATATGCAGCTCACTGACGATGCTGATGGCATGAGAGTTGGAGTGAGGAAAGCGAGGAGCGCGGCTACTGATGTGTCGTCAGTATCTCATAACAGTAGAGACTTCATTGGCGGGGAGAAACTTGCAAGTGATGGAGAAAAGATAACGAATGGGGTGAATGTCATTGGAAGGCCTAAGAAGTCTAAAAGCTCTGGAGTGAACGGTAGCTGTGGAGGGAAGAAGAAGAAGAAGTCTACAGAGGGCGCTAAGGATGATGAGCGCCTGAATTTAAAGGTTGATGGATTTGTTACTGATTACAGCGATAGTGATTTGGAGAGGGATGCGGAAGATAGCGAAGATGAATTTGAAGTAGATATCAGTGCTTACACTGAAAAAGGCAATGGAAATTCGAGGACTTCGGATGCGAGCCTCAACGGCGATACTAGGGTTTCTGGTAGTGTTAGAGAACGGAACCCTGGACAAGAGGAAACGGACTTGCGGTACATGTTTTTGGAGGCAATCATGGAGAAAGCTCGCAAGGCAGACGTTGAAGGAGTGGAGGAGGCTTTAACTGGAATGTCACTTGCGGGTTTGGATGCTGGCCCCAGGGCTTACTATGGTCTTACTGTTGCATACGCTAGATCTGGTGACCCGGAAGGAGCTGTACGTAATTTCATGCCTTGTGTGAAAGACCTATTTTATTTTATTTTATTTTTTTTAATGCTGTTTGCGTATGTTTGCTTATTTATTGACTCAGGCCTAACTGCTTAGATTTTCCTTACTCTCGCTTGTCGCAGGCCATGCCATAACAAATTGTTCAAAACTAATTCTATTCGTCTATTCATTTTGGGATGCATCTACTACAGAATTTAAAATTTATCACTTCGAATATTGCCAGCAGAGTTGAGCTCAAGAGCTCATCACATGGTGACGATGAATAATTGTGGCTAGTTACAAGATAATTTGTACCCTTTTAATCTGTTTCATAACATTCACAGCTACTCGCTCATAATCTCCCTTTTCAATTCTTTAGGGTGAATGCCGTAGTGTTGATGTATGAAGGCTGTTGTCCCTTATGAATCCAATCCACATTGCGCAGGTCCAAGCACTAAAGAAGGCGGTCCAAGCAGGAGTGAATCCTTTACCAGAATCTATGCTGGCCTGTGTGCGCCTTTATGGTAGCACTGGCCAACCACAGCGGGGCAAGGAAATTCTGGCTGCTATGGAAAAGCTAAATTACAACCCTAGGGTGGCTTGGCTAACTTTAGTTGGTAAGCATGCTTTGACTTACGCAAATGAAAAGCATTGTTTATTCTGCTTTCAATTTGCGGTCATCTGTGAAACGCGTGTTACCCTGTTTATTCATGTATTCGTGAGAGACTGGTCTGATTGAGTAGAATATTGGGTTGTAACGTTTTGATGTTGATATGTATCACATCTTTTTCTTTGACCATTCCGATTCATTTTAGTCTGAAAAAATTTCAATGCTTTTCTTGACTTATTCACAGAGGAGCTTCTCAATAATTCTTATCTACAAGAAGCGAATGAGGTTTATATTGAAGGACTTGAAGGAGGACTTCGAGGCACAGACGTCTTGTTTGATAGAATAGTGGAGGCAAACTCTATTATTGGGGATCATGCAAATTGTATCAGTGTTCTTCGATTAATGGAATATGGCGGGCGCATGTCTACAACATTCCACTACAATTGTCTTTTGCGAGCTCAGGTACTTACAGGGGTATGAGTCTAGGTAGTATGATTTAACACAAAAAAGGACTATCTAACTCGTCAGTCCTGATTTTTTTTCTGAACTCCGAGCTCTGTAGTTACTCGAAATCTGGTAGTCAAATATTGTCAACGCCTAAACTAGCAGATCTAACTGTAAAATGAGGCGTGACAAAGCAATGTGCAATTAGTGTTTTCTAGAGTTTTGAGTGTCTCCATTGAACATGCAGTTTTGAACGACTAAATTAGTCTATTCTTTACATCTCCTAATTGGTTGGCAATGTATTATTTTTGGGCAGTGTATGGCAGATGTTCCAGACATCATCGCCATGACGTTTGAAACTATGCAGTATGGCCGAGGTTGGTTCAAACCGCTAAATGTGCTTGATTCCAGACTGAGGTTGATTTGCGATGACGCTGTTTTTAATATGATTATTATTTTTTTTTACCTTTGGTAGCGTGTACATGTGCGTGTAGATGAAATGAAGCCGGACACAGAGTCATACAACTGGGTATTACAGTCATATGTTCGGCACAAGTTTGGTGACAGGTTGAAATCTGCACAGCACTCTGAAGTTAATTAAAGTTTTTATTTTTTTTATTTTTGTTTTCTACGTGTGGTCCCTGCAGGATGTGACTCATGCTCATTCTAACTACCGTTAACGTACTGATCTTTTTACGTGGTTTTTAATACAGGTGTCAAGAGGTCATCGATTTGCTGGGAGAAATGGTTGAAGATCACAAGAGGGTGCAACCAAATCAAAGGACATACGCGTAAGTGTGCCATTAATTTCAAGGGCACGGCTTAGTGAAATTTAAATATATAAAATACCACTAATGGTGCTTTGTTTGGAGGATAGAGTAATTAAGCTCTGTCCTCCAAATTACTGTAAGATGGTGTGATGGTCTTTAGTCACTTCGTCACCGAACTCTGCATCCTATTTCTGACTATCGAAGGCTGAACAAAGTATGAACTCACTTGCTTTGATTCTTATCTTGCTGTGAGAAAAACATTGAAATTCTTTTGTGTTCTTATTTTTTCAGGCTTCTTGTGGAGTGCTTCAGCAAGTATGATCATTTCAATGAAGCCGTGAGACACTTTAGAGCGTTAGTTAGAAATCCCGGATCAACCACTTTTCTCTTCAATGAAGGTCATGGAAGAGACACTGATCCGTTATCACTTTACATTAGAGGCTTATGTCTAGAAGGTGCGTACTCTCACCCTTGTTTTCAGAAATCTGCATCATTGATTATGAAAGAAAAATGAATCAAAATGTGATCGTGTTAGACCTAAGATAAACGAGCCATATTGAACGTGCAAATCAAGTCGCATACTCCTTACAACCTAAACTAAGGGACATTTCTTCGTATTTCCCTTCAGAAGTTGACTAAGAAATAACGTAGCCGATGTGGTTTGAGAATGTTCAGGCCGAGCCGGAGATCTGGTGGAGGTGTTGGAATCCATGGTCAGGGACAATCAGCCCCTGCCAGCGAGGGCACTTTTGGTCAACAAGAGGGGTCGTACATTGGTCAGCTCTTGGATAGAACCTCTGCAGCAGGAGCCCGATCTTGGTTACGACATCGACTATGTTGCAAGGCATGTCATTTGTATTGATTGAAACTAGGTGTTAGCTGTTTTGTTCTTTAGATGAATGCTCCTTTCGCACAATTGGTACGAATCTTATTTATTTTAGTGGTATTTACTTCAGTGATTTGGGTAGATAATGGAGTTTGAGGATAGGTTTTGTCAAATATTTAGTTCCGCGCGCAATTAGTGTTAGTTTCAAACGAGATTGTTGAAGTGTACTACATTTCGGAGCGGGACCATAGCGACAGTACCTGGGATTTTTTCTGCGGTCTTGTAGCTGTTCTAAAGATGTCAGAAGTTTCTTCGTTGTATGTGTGCTAGTACGAGAGTGTCAATTGGGATTATATTCTTATGACTCCAACTCCATACAATGTTTATAGAAACACACAAACTCTTGTAGTATATGTACATGTTAGAGTGAGCAGTGACTGAAATTTAGAATTATCACCTTGAAGATGTGGGTTGAGGAACTACTGGTAATGATACTTTTGATATTCTGAACAGATTCTTAGCAGAAGGAGGCGGGGATGGCACGCGGAAGAGATTTACTGATTCAGTTGGTGGAAGGTTCAAGGCTGTAGATGATGATGGCTTCGCATATGCAGCCCCGCTGGAAGTTTCTTACAAGAGTTTCCTGACTCATATGCGCAAGAATTACAACTTACGGTTGCTTCGGAAGCTGAGATTGGAGGGTGTGCGTGCTTTAGGTCCAGGTGCTACTGAGGCAGATCTTCACCGTGTAATTGAAAGGTCAGTTTTCTTCATTTGTGTGCTGAATTCAATGTGTGTGTGTGTGTGTTTTTTTTTTTTTTTTTTTTTTTTTTTAAATTTAGATATCATTTTCACGCGTTACTGTGCATTAGCAGAGACTATTTTCTTAAAGGTCTAATATATTAGTCTTGTTGTTTTTCAGGCTGAAAAAGGATACTAGAGGCGATGTGGGTTACCAAATAAGGAAACCGAAGGCAGCTAGTAAGATGCTCGTTTCAGAGCTCAAGGATGAGTTGGAGGCACAAGGGCTTCCTACTGAAGGCACTAGACCAGTGCTGTACCAGCGCGTGCAGAAAGCCAGACGGATAAATAAGGCTCGTGGCCGACCACTCTGGGTTCCTCCAACAGAAGACGAACTTGATGAGGTATATCAGATATAAGCAAGAAATTTTCAGATTTCTTTCACCACTTGTCTTATTGTCGTGTACAAACGCAGTTACAGTGTGCGATGTTTCGGCTAGTTCTCAGCTCAGTTTTTTTCTGAATCTCTGGGACAGTTGTGAGTTTCCTATTTTGCTTCTCCGGTGGTTCGACCTGGCCCTCTCCGATGGTATCTGTTAGTAAATAGTGGTAGTATTGGTGATCCTGTCTTCTCGAGCATATTTTCGTTATTTTTAATAGTATGTATTCTGGCACTGTCTGCAGAGACATGATGAAGAGATTGATATGTTTATGGAAAGATTAACGCTGAAGAACGAGAATTCGGAATTCTGGAGGAAGCGATTTATCGGCGGAGCGGGTATTTTGGATGAGGAGGAATCTTTATATCAAGCTTCTGCCGATTCTGACGAAGAAACCTTCGCAGACGATGATGATGAAGATGACGACGATGAGGATGAGCTTCAGGTAACAGACAGTGCAGATGATCTTGTTGAAGATGGAGGCGAGGAGGATGTAGGGGAGCCCCCTGAAATGTTGGCTATGCAGCTTCTGAAGAACAAGAAAGAAGAGGTTAGTTATAAGTGGTGGTGTAGTGCATGTTCATTATGAAAGAATCTTTTCTTTCTTTTTGATCTATGCTGTTTTGGTCTTTGAACAGCGCCTGTAGCATGGATACGATCGTTAGATGTGAGGTCATATCAGACTCTGAGTAGTTCATATTGTTTTAGTAAGCGACTGTTGGTCCTGGCCCTGATATGAATGCAGTAGCTTCTGGTGGGACTTCAGTTAAATTGACCTCAGTCCGACCTCGGTCTCAGTTAAATGTGCGTTTGCGATTCCGTAGTCTATTGTAGGCAAATTGTTTATTCTGTGAGCCGGGTGTTAGCTTCAAATGTTATCTCCTAAAATATTATTGTTTATCATTATTTTCAGGTTCCGGTAGTGAAGGAAGAGGACAGGGAGGGATCAGAGTGGCTAGGGTTGACTCTGGATGAGAAGATTACATTTATGAAGGAAAGGGGTATGGATGAATCAGCATTCTACACCATAGCTGATGTCTGGGGATGGACATGGGAGCAAGAGATTCGAGATCGTGTGCCAGAAGACTGGTCCCAGGAGAAGGAAGTGCAGTTGGCCATCGAAATCATGCTCAAGGTTGGACGATTCTCTGTTCTCTCAGCCGTCGTAGCTCAAAAGTTACAAGTGGCTCTCTCAGCTGCACGAGATGTATTATTGATTTTAATGAGTTACATTATTCAATGATTAGGAACTGATCTAGTTGTCTCTTCAGGTTCAAGCTCTTGGAGGAATTCCAACCATTAACGACATGGGAATACTTGTACGAGCAGCAATGCGAACACCTTGGCCTGAGGCATTAGTTTCTCTTCTCCAACATTCTCATAAGCTTGGTTATGCATTTGGCAGGTAAATTGTTTGTCATTGGACCTCGTCATTTTTAAGGATTGTTTTGTTACTTTCGGTTTATTTAAGGAAAACGACTTGAATGCGTTATACTTGAGGATATTTTTTGATGCACAAGCAACTTAGAAATTGCACTTTTGTTACTTGCAGCAAGTTGTATGCCGAGGCTGTGCGTCTGTGTCTATCACTCGGAGAAAAGGACGCTGCAATTAATATCATTTCTGATATGGAGGATATGGGCGTGGCTGCTCCACCAGACCTTCTCACGGATGTCCTCGAAGAAACCCAGTTTCGGCAAATCTCGGATGTCCTTGCAGTAGAACCAGAGGAAGAATAGGTCGAGACGATACAGCTTCCCTCTTTTTATCGGGCTTACCTTTTATCCCGCATAGGAAAGAGCTGTTTAGAAAGCGAGTCATTTAATGAAGTCGCCTTTTTAGAAGCCTGTTCTGACAGCGCACAACTTGGTCGCACCTTAACCTAGATACTATGATCTTCCTCGCTTTTACTAGCCCTTTTGAGACGGTTCAGTAGAGAGCTCTCATCTTCTCGTTTTAGAGGCACAGAGATGCACATCTTTGCCCTCATCCACTTAGATGCCTGGCCAACCCTCAGGCACCAGAAAATCACTGATTGTTTTCGTGATATATTAACAAAGCTGTTATACAAAGCCTCTGGAATATCCTCGGCTTTCACACATTTTATTAAAGCTAGTGAATCTTTTGGTCAACTTTTTGGAAGTGAGCTGGGTAAAGTTGCATGGGTTGCATGGGTTGTAACCTGCGGTTTATTATCTGGTTCTGAAATTCTACATGCCGTAAGATCATACCGTTTTTTCAGGATCTCACTCTAAGTTTTCCTGTTGATGTTTTACATTCGGATATTCTCCTGCAACTGATATCAGGAGTTAACTGCGTGCGAAGTTTCAGGCAGCCACAGAATCCCATAATTCAGCTTCTGTTTATGATTCTTAACAGATCGTTCAATCGATTGCATTGATATTGTGTGTGTGTTGATATCTACACATCAACACACACAAATGGTGATACATACGAGTAAGAGTAAGCTCAAATAACCAAGGGAAGTTTGAATGGTGTGCAAATTATTGTCGTAACCAGCATGTATTGAAGAAACCAAATTATTTCGGTGTAATTACCGTCCTTAAAGTTAATATAGTGCCCTTATTGTGATCACCCTGGTTACATTGCAGCAATCTTTCTGCATTGTTAACCTCTAAATTAAGATAGAACTTCTAAACTAAGGAATTCTTTCAATTTCATTTAGTTGATTGAACTTTGCAAGACTACATCAATAACATTGCTGAACTGATTTGTTTTTTTCTCTCAAACTTAGAACAACCAAATTAAAACATTGCAGTAGTGGGTTATACACATGATATTGCAGTGCATCTTTCATACACAAAAGAGACTCTCAATGTTGGGTAATATTATTAGAGGTAAAAACTACTCTTGATTGTGCTCTAAGTATTTTATTAGAAGGAAGTTACAAAGACCTCAATAATGATCAAATAAAATGGTGGTATTCTCTCCCTTCTATGGGATACTATTAATGATTGAAAGGACCTATCAACTACCTTTAATGGGAACAAAAATTAGAGTATGTGGCAAACACAATTTGCCACATTTTGGACTTTATCAACATGTAATCACCACTCTTTGTAGAACTCATTTCAAGAATGGAAGTAGGAAAGGAGGAGGTAATGTAAAAAATATATATATATATATATATATATATATATATATTAGTAACTACTTAGATTAGAAGAATTAGATAAAAGAAATAAATGTAAGCAAATTTAAAGATATTTTGTGGAAAAGCTTTATAAACATAGATTTGACTTTCAAATTATTTGTAAGTGATTGTTTGGTTTAAAACTTGGTCAATAAATTGGCTAAGTATTGCACATGTTTACTTTCTTTACAAGTTAACTACTATTGTTTATGTTGACCACTTGCTTTATAAATTGGCCACATATTGCATACATTGGTCACTTATCATATTAATTGGCCATGTAGTGCACATGTTAGAAATTTTTGTTGCAAATTAGATAGGTGCTTTATAAGTTGAACACATGTAAGATGATCTATAGAACATTGTGACATAGTTCCTTAGTTAGATAATATATATGGAGGCAAAAGTGAGGCCTTCCTCATTCTTGCCAACACTTTTCTTGTGTTCTTGCTTTAGTTCAAGAACTTCTAGTCTCTTTGTATTTAGCAATAGTTTTACTAGTTCTCGCATATATCTATCTTTGATTTGTCTACTTTCTTTTTTTTGAGTATTATAAAAGTGCATTACTTCTTTAGAGTTTGATTATGATTCATATCCTTAATATTAGCTTGACATATATATATATATATATATATATATATATATATTACATTTATGTATATTTTTTAATATCTATGGTAGTAAATATAATTTAAGAAAGTGTTTTTACTAAAACTTATTTAAATTTTATTGTGAGTTATATATTCACCTTCTTGTTTATATTGTGTTCTTACATAAAAAAAATAAATCTGATATCAAAATGATACAAATAATAAAACAAGAAAATCTCAAACCAATTAATTGAAGAAGAAAAAAAAATAGTAAAAAATATGATAAAATAAAATGTTAAATTTTATATTTTAATAAAAAAAACTTATATAATTTTTTTTTTAAAATAAACCTAAATATATATATTTTTAAAAAGAATAAAGTGATTTTTTTCTATTATTATTATTTATTAGAAAACTTAAACAAATTGCACCCTTTAGAAGCATGTAAATGAAAATTGGTCTATAAGTAAAACATTATATTTTTTAAGCAAAAAATATTTTTTAATAAACTTAAAGTATTTATTGTAATCCAAAAATATAATTTTAATTTAATTTTAAAATGTTTATTATAGAAATAATTAACTAATTGAATTGCTATTCAAATAATAGTTTAATGTATTGGTTTTATGTTTATTGATTCATAACATAATATTCTTAGTTTTAACATAATATATAAAACCAAATTAAATATATATTTCTTTAAATTTATTTTTATCATATATACAAATATATATATATATATATATATATATATTAAATTAAAAATTAAACATATGCAATGAAATTTTGTATTGCTTTGAAATTTTAAAAATTACATTAAGTTTTGAAAAATAATGCATATGAAAATGAACTTACATGCATTTTTATATTTTACAAATATTCTTAAAAAATTAATGGATTTTTTTAATTATAAGAATATTTCATATTATTAAATATATAACATGTTTTTCAGTTATAAACCAGAAATATCAAACGGATTATGTCAAATTAGTAGAATTAGATAAATTTTTAGAAACGAACCTATTTGCATAGAATATCTATTCATGGTAACTTATAGTATTAAAATATCTACCACATGTAAGTTAGTAATTAATGTTGCACATAAATGTATTAAATTTAGAAATAGATTTAATTAAAGCATTAATATTTTAAAAAAAAATATAAAAAAAATATTAAAACATAAACATGCATTGTAAAAAATTTGGTATTAAAAATAACAAGATGTGACAATTAAGAAAATTTTTATTTTATTTTATTTTATTTTACAGAGAATACAAAAATACCAAATTCTATCAGCGAATATTTATTCAAATTATTTTCATAGTATATTTTATTTTAAAAAATTATTTGAAAATATTTTACAATGAGAGTTTTTAATTTTTATTTAATATTATTTATTGTTCTTGTAAATCCATTTCATAAAAATTATAATAATAATAATTAAGATGCAAGAAATTAATCCAGTTATTTTTTTAAAATTAAATTAAAAATTAAAAATAAATAAAATTAAAAATAAAATCCAAGATTAATTTTTAAAAAAACAGTCATTAAATAAATTTATATTTCAAAAATCTAATAATAGTTTTCTAAAAAATAAAAAATGTAGTGGTATAGATAAACAAAATATGCAACATGGCTAATAGGATTTGTTGCACAAAAGATATAAAAATAAAATAAAAATAACATAAAAAGTAGTTTAAGTGGAGCAAGACTTAAGATTATCTTTAAACAATTATAATCTTCTACATCATTTAAGTTTGTAATCTCAACAATAACCTTCAATAAAAAATTTAGATTTTTTATTAAATTCATTAAGTATTAGTATTTGAAAAACTATTTAAAGACATAAAATTTAATATTAAATAAATATGTAGTGAGATAAATCTATTTTTTATTTTTAAACAATAAAACTTTAATTTGCAACTTATCACTTTGTAGAGCCTTCATAATCACCATATAGAAGTCTTAGCATATTTGTTTTTGCAATAAATGAGTTTTAAGGTTACTAAAAATAAACTTAGTATTACATTAAAGTTTAATTAGTTAAAAGTTTCTATTTCAATTTTAGAGATATTCTTTTAAAATTTCCATAAAACTATTGAAATATCTAAATTATTTATAATTACAATGTAAAGTTTAAAGTTTGATTAGTTAAAAGTTTATATTTCAATTTTAGAGATATTCTTTTAAAATTTCCATAAAACTATTGAAATATCTAAATTATTTATAATTACAATGTAAAGTTTTGTAAAGAACTTTTATTTTTTTATATCAAGTTTAATAAGTATTCTAAGGAAAATACCTATCCATAACAATGCAATATGTATGAAGATGAAATAAAAATAATACATGAAAAAAATTATGTCCATGATGTAATAGTATTAAACTTATTTTTTTATTCATTGATTTTTTTATACTACTTTAAATAAGAAAATGATAATTTATGTCTAAATATAATAATCAATGTATATTACATTTTTAATAGAAAATAATAAAAAATTATGTTGTTATGAATATAAATCCAAAATATTGGAAGTTATTATTTAAACATTTTAAGCTTCAATTTAAATTTATCATTAAATTCTAATATCTTATGATTTTTTAAGAATATATATGTATACAACAAAATAGAAAAAAAAAAATACTAATTTATTTTTAAAAAATCTGAAAGTAATTATAATATATCAAAATAAATGGATAAAAATTATGAGTTTTTTGTCCATTTATTTTGATACATTATAATTACTTTTAGATTATTTTTGAACAAATTAGTATTTGATTTCTATTTCTTTATATATATATATATATATATATATATATATGTATATTATAATGTATCAAAATAATGTTACCAAATACATAGTTACCAAATACATAGCTATTTGGTATCTTAGAATTTCCAAATTTCCATGTACAAACAAATGCAAATCAAAATAGACCAACAATAGAGAAATTAACAAATCATTTAGAACTCTACATGGAATTGGTATCAAATATCCTATCATTGACAATTTTTTGTTTTAAAGAGTATAACAAAGTTAATCAAATCCAATTAATCAAGACACATTAAAAATGATCCTTTGACTTTTTACAGATTATAAAATACACTTCTAACTTCACTACAAAGTGTGAGACATGATTACAATTTTTTTTTAAAATTCTGGCTGAGGATCTATAAAAATACTCCAACAAGTCCTCTTTCACAAATTATCAACTTAAATTAAATGCATGAAGATCTTATGGCTTTTCATTGTAGAGTCTTGTTTTTTTGACAATTTGAGAGATATGAAAGAAAAAAATCTTAAAAAATAAAATTTGACATGCCATTTAAATACAAAAAATTATCTAAAATTGCTTAACATAATATAATAAAACTAGTTGGTTGAAGACCAAAGACAAAAATGGAAAAAAATCATAACCATTTTCTTAACAAATCATTTGTTTAGAAGTTTACTAAAGTTTGGATTTAAAATAGCAAATTAGATATCTCAGTCTCTCTACACTGTATTGGATGGAATATGAGTCCACTCTAATAATTCATGTTTCCTACCCAATTTTAGAATCTTAAAACAAATTATAGATATGTGTGATTTTTTTCTATATTAACAACAATAAAGAGGTAAACTGTCGTAGGATTTAGTTTCTTTTTTCAAAAAAAGATAAAAGTGAAACAAATGTAAAACTGAAGAAGAACAAAAGTTTATATGTATGCATAAATATATATGTATATATATACCTATATATATATATACCTATATATATATACCTATATTTATTCACAAATGATTAAAAAGGGGCTTATTGTCCGGATCAGTCCTTTTTATTGAGTGCATCCCTGCTTCTGAGCCAGTATACAGTTACACTACTGCATGAATTCATTGATCTGTGGTGCATTCCACGAGGTAAAAATGATCGATTCGAAGCAGAATCCGCGGGACCCATCGGAGGAAGGAGAAACCCATCACATAGTGATCCATCGGCGACATTGGATCCAACGATGCACGAGATGATGGATGGCCACTGCCTGCCTGGTCACGCAGGATCTGCCGCTCTGGATCAAGGATTCCTTGCCCCTTGTCCGCTACGGAACAAACATCATCAGCACATCGAGAAACAAAACCAAAAACATAAAACAAAAAAAAACGAAAAAAAAAAACGCAATAAGGACGCTGCCGCAGATGTGGAGGCTACCTTGAGAGATCGGCCGAGGTCGAGGTCGGAAGGAAGCTCATCAATCCTGTGCCATGGGTCGTCGTCGATCCCACTGGAACCTGCTTCACTGGGCGAGCGAATCCGGAACTGACCGAGAGCAGCGAACCCAAGTGGAATAGCTGATGCGGACTGGATCCGTGCTTGTGGGGCACCGGAAGTTCGGAAGACCAGGATCGGCGCCGAGAAGATCGCACCCACAAAACCCACTTCTGGGCTCTAGGATCCTCGTGCTGAAGAATCTCTACCTCGTGACCCTGCCAGGGTCGACGATCTCCGATGTAGGAAGGGCGGGGAATCTCCGCGACTGGGGCCCTGTTCCCGTGTGTGCGGCCGCCAGTCGATTTCGTGCTCTCAGGAGACCCACGGGAGCCCTCACCACGTCTTGTGAGCCACTCGTCGGAACTGGAGAGAAATTTTCTCACATTCGGACAAGACTTGACTTTGCTCTAATCATATGTTTATTTTGTTTTTTTGGCATTTCTGGTCCCCCGGATGTCCATGAGTTGACAGTGTTTTATTTTTCTGAACTTGTTCGAGTCCGGGTCGACTGGTACTTGTGCTGCACGGATAGTGTTCGGATCTGGAAATTGGTTCAGAATTGTGTCGGTTTCGGCGACTTGTTGCGTGCCAGGAGTGCACGGATTCGGGGTGCGACGTGACGGTGGACGAGTTTTCGGTTCCGATGTTGTTGGTCGTTAGACGGATTATGGGTGGAGAGTGAGTGAGGAGGGATATGTTGGAGGGTTGGATTTGCACCCTGGTGAGAGGAAGGATGAGCGGATTGCTGCATTAAGGGTTGATATCGTCGGCGCAACTGACGTTTGGTGTTTTTGGCTGGAGCTTCTCCAGGTGTTTATCGCATCCCATTACATAGCTTCTTTTTTCCAATTTAGCTTACTGTTTAAGTTGACCCTGTTTGGTTTATTGAGGGAAAGTTCTGTGGTTCGTACTCCTTTGAGGGACTTGAGCTTCCTTGCCGGTTACGTTAACCCATGACTCGACAATCACGGCCAAGCTAAAGGCTGACATCATGTCGTCTATCTCTGTCTTAAATTACTTTCGAGAATGAAACAATCAACTTGATTGTGTACTACTGCTGCGAATTTCCGATGAGAGGGATGATACATGTTCGGAAGAGAAGGAATTAGAAGGAATCGACAGAATGGTGCAGTAGTATGTTTGCCTCGCAGCTACCTAGAAGATTGGCCTTCCTCATTCTATAGTGTAGAATGCACTTTGCTGCCTAGAAAGTCGTTGGTGGCAGCAATCTCACGAAAGAGAAGACTTCATGCAATTCGTAGGCTCTGTGTGCACTTTGTCCCCAAGCCCTTTGAATACCGTGGTCGCTTTTTACGCTTAAAATGCACAACTAGAGCCCCTGGACACTTCCCAGAAGTTTGTATGTGATCTCATGGAGGGTTTCTTTATCAACATTTGATTTGATTTTCTCCATTGAATCGAGTGCTTTCTAGGGCCTCAGACTTTCAAGTCTATATTGTTGGTTGTAGACCTTTCAGTAGCAGATAGGTGGTTAGATGAGAGAGAAAAGAAGCGCATGCATCTCATTGAAGACAGACGGGTTTTATGGAAGCCACAAAGGAGAGGCTTAATTTTCTGGTTTGTGAGCATATTAGGTCATCGTTCTCCATATCAGAAGCACTTACAACTCTGTAATCTCTGAAGCTATACGAACTGCTCATGTGTCTTATACACTTATTATTTCTCGCATCCAGTGGCCTTCACCAAATCAACCAATTCTGCGGCTTTCGTTTAATCGAAGAGTCGGGTGCGGCCGAGCCGATTTCTACGATGGGCGTTCATCCTAATGGAATCAGCTCGGTCAGGGACACATATCCTTTGAGTTCACTAAGTTTCGAAGAATTGCAGCCCGATGTAAAAGATATCCCGGTGTTGTCTCATGGACAGTTTATGCAACACAAGAAAGAAGAGGACTTCGCTATTGCAGTGACGCATTGCGAGAGAGTTCCTGGTGATCCATCGACCACGTACGCTGCGTTTATGGTATGTAGCCTTTATGTTTTATTTATTTATTTATTTTTTTTTTTTTTCCTGCGTTCAAACTCTTTACTACTTCAGGTTGCTCAATTGTGGAAGTCAGGCTGAAACACGTAATGTGGGTTCTCTGACAGGTTTTTGATGGTCACAATGGAGCAGCGGCAGCCACCTACTCTAAGCAAAATCTTCTCAACAATGTCATGAGTTGCACGCCACCCAATCTTACAAGAGAAGAGTGGTTGGCGTTTTTACCACGCGCTATGGTCGCAGGATTTGTGAAGACAGACAAGGACTGGCAGAAACTAGGTATAGTACAGCTGAATTTTGGACAGCAATTACTGAAGTCTGATGCACCAATTACCTTTCCGAGTATGGCTGATTTACTTCTTTTTTTCTTTTCTTTTTTTGTGTTGTTTTTGTTATCTGTTTTAAAAGAACTGTCTCTAGCTAGAAGATTGAAAAGACTGAAAGCCTTTGTGTTGGTTGGTTCAGGGAAAACATCAGGCACAACAGCCACATTAGTGATTGTCGATGGATGGACCATCACCGTAGCATGTGTTGGAGATTCACGGTGCGTATTAGATGCGCAAGGAGTAGCGACGCCGTTAACAATCGATCACAGGTTCGACGACAACATTGAAGAGTAAGTCCGGTCTTGTCACCGTCGATCATCAAAGTGGCAGCCTTGGCCATATTCAAGTTTGTGTGTTGATTGTGGAGATCGTTGAGACAATCTTGGTATATTCGCAAGCTCTGAAATTAGTTTACACTTTCTGAATATGTGCATGGTGCTGTTGCAGGCAAGAGCGCATTAGAGCAAGTGGAGGGGAAATTGGGAGAATTAAGATTTCAAATGGGGAAATCGAGGTTGGCCCTCTTAGGGTTTGGCCAGGTGGTCTTTGCCTCTCGAGGTCGATTGGCGACATTGACGTGGGCGATTACATTGTGGCTGTGCCTCACGTTAAACAAATTAAGGTAGTGTGAGACTTTTCTTCACTTTGATCTCATTTTGTTTTGTTTTAGTTTTCTTTCTGTTCCTTCAAGCTGCTGTGTTAAATGAGAGCAGGCCCTTAACAATCTGGACTCATCTTATGTTGCTGCAAGAACTAGAACGCTCTTTTACACACTCCAGAATCTCATTCGTTTTTCGAACATTTCAAGGAATGGACTGTTGTTCTAGGAACTTGTGTCAAGTCGAACTGCGGTCTCTAATTCTGAGTGGTTGATCATTTTCTTTGGCTCCAGCTTTCTCCTGCTGGAGGTAGGCTGATCATTGCTTCAGATGGAGTTTGGGACGCTGTTAGTACAAAGAAGGCTGCTAGATGCTGTCGTGGGGTATCTCAACCAGAAATTGCTGCTAAATATGTGGTGAAGGTTGTGTTCCTTTACTTGCTTTTTTCTTTTCATTCCTTTTTTCTTTTTAGTTTTGCAAATGATCAACAGAGTTGCATCAGGTTAACGAAAGAGATACTTTCTTACACCATCAGAGTAGGTTTTTCATTTACTATGAAACCGAAGAGTTTATTCTCGGTGACTGCTCTTAACATTCTTGAAAGCTGGGCTTTTTAGTCCACTGCGCTTGCACGTTGGGTCTGTTTCTTTCAAATGTTTGGAAGAATGCCATATGCAAACATTGAACGGTTTGCTATTAAATGTTCAAGCACTACACATTGGAATATATGGATGGTTCTGAAGGACACATGAATGTTAGTTCAGTATGTTACTGTTCACAGAAGAGTAGTGTATTTGTCATCAATTCCGGAAATGGGTCCACCACTTGTTTTTGCATATGTTGAGATAGAGCTTGTTGGACACCAGGAAGCAATCAAGGCCCGCGGATTACGAGACGACACAACATGTTTGGTGGTTGACATAGCTCCACGAAATTCTGAAGTGCCTTTTGCTCCAGCAGTCAAGAAACAAACCAACTTCCAGAAATTGTTACGCTGCATATCGGTCAAGGAAGCGCATATTGATTACGACCTCAACATCATGGAAGAAATCTTCGATGAAAACTCCCCAGCTCTGGCTGAAAGGTGAGTAAAACACTTACAAGTCGAAAATCGTATCCATATTTCCTGTGCTTTAGATGGTGTACTTCTTATTTGGCAGTTACCCAACCGAAGAGTCGCATCTCTGAACTAATTTTTCGTCGTGCTAGGTTGGGACCGGATGCATCGGTGCACGCTGGAAACGGTCTATTCCTGTGTGCAAATTGCCACTGCACCTTGGAGTCAGATGCGGGCATTTCAGTGCACGCGGGAAACTTCTTTTCACAAATCGCCGGGAATGCCTGGGAAGGTCCGTTTATGTGCTCCGACTGCAAGACCAAACAGGACGCAGCAGAAAAGGATGCCAAACAGGACACGAACCAGGGCAGTGCACCTCAACAACAAGGGGAGACTGGTCTTTCACCTCCTTTAACCTCATAAAACACTACAACACAGATTACGAAGGGCATGACACCAGTACATGTGCAGGTCCTGCACGCTTACTACGGGCATGGTTGTGGATAGATAGATACGTCGAGGTCACTAGATGGTGGCAGTGTAGACAAGGTGAAAGCTCAGAAGTGCATGTCTGGACACATCACTGGAATCACACTGGACTCAAGGGAAAACCAACGAAGGCCACTGCAACGAGGAGTGTGGTCTGATCCACCATCACATTACCAGCACAGACGCTTCGATGCATGGTGTGGTGTGGGGTAGGTGGGTCATTCAAGTCCAGAGCCATTGCTCCTGGGGCTGATCCCTGACTAGATTGGGAGGCAGTGTTGAGGTGCGTGTTGCAGGACCCTTGTCGATCAGAAACCTGGTGATGCGTCTGCAGCAATGCAGCAATATTGCAGCGTCAGAAGGGTCTGTGAAGAGCAGGTTTAGGGTGCTCGGGGAAGATGCGGAGCCACAACTTGGATGATGGTTCCGAGGCCGACCTGGTGTGGGATCCACCATCACAGTGGCGGTGGTGATAATTCTGTGCTGGTATGACCAGTAATATTAATACTCTTTTTGTACAAGGAGATTTGGAGGATGCCGTGTTTGCTCTTCTGGTGGAACGCTTGTTCACCAACTCAGTTATTATTTATATATATATATATATATATACATACATACACACATGTACATACACGTCTGTGTGTGTGTGTGTGTGTAATAGTACAATAGTGCAATGGTACAGTGTTGAGAAGTTCAGCAATACTGTATTGAAAGCTTTTTCTAAACAAAATTCTTATTGTGGATGAAATTTGGTATTTGTTGATGTGATAATTTTTGTTCTATTTTTGTTGCGAAATAAAACCTTACAACTGCGTATTTCAGAGGGTCAACTTTCTAAACTCAAAACTGGCCATAAACTCTTTAAGGTATTTGAGGTTTCAAAAACATATTTTGGATAGTTGGAAACTGGTCTTTGTATTTGTGCTTACATTTGTAGTTGAGTGGATTGTTCTTGAAATTATTCAAATCATTTTCATGCTATAAGTTTACAAATGAATCAACTATGCACTTTATGAAATTATAAGTCATGTGTGTTTCATAAGATCATATAATGTATAAACATATATGTATGTGTATGATAAAATATATAACAAAATATGCATAATACAAAAATTAAATAATTTGATATGTTGCAACCAACATTGGTATGCTATTATGTTGGTTCATTTATTAGTGTATTTTAATACATTTGTAAATAATCAACACGTGAAGAACCTATGCAAGAAAAAATTTAAAAACTTTAGAACTTTAAAACATAACAATTTATTAAATTCAAGGATAATCAAGTGACATAAATAATTATATTTCTATGTAATTATGTGTGTGAAAATATATGTGCTAGTTTATAAATATTTGATAAATATACTCATCAAGCAATTTTGAAAAAATATATACATAGTAAGTTTTTATAGTTATATTCTAAAAATATTATGCTAAAGTACAAAATAATAAATCTACAGTTATAAACTACTTAGATTTATTTTTAAATTATTTTTCAAATCATATTGTAGAAATAGTTTAACTTTAAATGTTGTAGAAGTATTTTGAAACAAATCTCTTAAATAAATTTCTTGTGGATTTTATAATAAATTATGTAAAAATTTATGTTGGAGATAATAAACTTGAATTCAAGTTTGTATGTATTTTATTATAAATGAACAAAGACTTTATTTATTTTATAAAATAAGATATACTATATCAAAATCTTATTTAGTAAATTTTACTACCATTATTATAAAAACTTAATATAATTTTTTAAATCCATATAATAGTATTATTATGTCTAATTTTAAATATCAACAATCTATTATGTACAATAGCTAAAAATTTATTTAAGGCATCATTTATATTAAAAATATTCATTGTTATAAATAAAATGATTATTTAACATGTTTTAGAATCTTTTCTTTTAACAAACACATTCAATTTCATCTAAAAATCCATTGGATGAATTCATAAATTTTTTTCCTTACCTTATGAAAAAAATAAAAAAATAAAAAATAAAATTTTAGAAGTTCATAATTACTAAAATTTTATTTTTTAATTCTTTATTACAAAATAATTAATTGCATATCAATATTTAAGCATATGTAATATTTCTTTGATAAATTCAATAAATTATTTTTTAATAGTTTTTAATAAATATAATAAATTTTACCTTCATACTTATATATTACATAAATTATACAATTCTTTAATATATTCAAATAATTAAAATTTAAAAAATCTATCTAAAACACAAAAATAATTGTTTTGATTAAACTTAAAAGATAATATGTATTATAGATATTTCACAAAAAAAACCTATATGTTAGAAGAAACATTTTTTAAAATGTTATTTTAATATTTATTTCAATAAACTTAGAAATATAATAAAGATATAAAAAGTTTATTAAGAAACAATATATATATATATATATATATATATATATATAAATTAAAAAAATTTAAAAAAAATTAAATTTTATTTTATATGTGTATATGCATATATATATAATAATAATAATAATAATAATAATAATAATAATAATAATAATAAATATCATTTGACTTTTTATAATAAATTTTAGGTTAATTTTAAATTTTATTTACTTGAATTAATAATTTTATTACTTTATTGTCATTTCAAGTCCTTGTGAATGCTTGATATAATTCCAATTAAATTTTAAAAATAAATTCTATTGATATAAATTGTTTATGAGCTCATTGATTTATTTGTAAATAAATAAATAAATAAAAAGAGTTTATAATCTTTAATTAAATATATTTTTTAATTTTTATAATTTATCTTTAAAAAAATATTATATATTTTATTAAATGTAATAAAAGTAAAAGGATTATTAATTTATATGATTAAAATTATATTAGATTATTTTCTTTTAAAATTTGATTTATGCAATTAACACATAATGTAATTTTATTTTTGTTGAATACTTTCAATATTAAAAAATACATATGATGTTTAGATACAAACATAATAAGAATCAATTAATTATATATATATATAGATATAGATATAGATATATACATAAAAAGTAAAGGTTTTTCTTCTATATATATATTTATATGGTACTTACAAAGAATTAAGAAATTTAGGTTTAAGAATATTTTTTAATTTATTACCTAATTTAATATATTTTTAATAATACATATGTATATATTTAGTTTATTAAAATATTTATTAAAATATACTGACTTTAGTTTCTTAATCCTAATGATTTTCTTTCTCTTATTTGTTTATTGAGTTTTTAAAGAATTTAATTTACCGCATTTAAAAACATCTTGCCTACAAAATTCTCTTAGTTAATAGTTAGACACAAGTGATGTAAATAAATCAAAAGTACAATTTCATTAGGAAATGACATAATCCAATAATATAGCAAGGAAATTGAGTGGCGTAGATGGTACCAAAACAAAAGTGAACACGTTTCAAAGATTTCTTCCAAACTTGTTGGAGGATTTTCTCCAAATCTCATGAAATCTTTAAATAAATTCTTTTTAGAGGTTATTGGGAGTTGTAACCAACTTTGTTTTCAAAAAGTGTGGAGAAAACACACACTTCTTTTCCTTTCTAAGACTATTATGTTTGCTTCCAATTAGGCATGTAGAAATTTCAATCTAATTATAGGATTTAAAAAGTATACTTTTTATTTGAACTCCCCTTCTTGCTTTCTAGTGCTACATTACAAGACAAAATAACAACCTTAGTATATTTTATATTTTTAAGTTTAGAACTTTGATTTTGTAGAACTTTAAAGATTCAGGCCACTTTAATGATTCTTTTTTTAGCATATTTTATTTGCTTGTTGATATCTAAGTCAAATTATCTTGTAATGCAAAGTTGGCTTTAAAGCCAAGGATATTATATTTATATTAATTTTTTTAATAATTTACTATAAAAAAAACTTAAGATATATAATAAGTGTTTTAAGAAAAATAAAGAATAATGTTCCAATAACCAGGTCTGCCATGTGAAAGAGAATTCAACTTGTGGCTTGATTTGATAGTAATTGCTTTGTAGGTTTTTTTTATTACTATGATTGAAACTTGGTTTCTTACAAGATTTATTTCTTCTTATTTTCTATGTGCTTTGTATACATAGTAACAAAAATAGTACAAATATCATGTCCAAGATGACATAGAGAAATTCAAAGGATTTAGGAAACAAATAAAAACAATCAAACAGAGAGAGAAGAATAAATGCTTGTACATTGGTTATTTGATTTTTTGCAACATGGATTTCGCTTCTTTAAAAACAAAAATAAAAACCGAGGTATTAATATTATCGCTGTTGTTTTCAATCACTGGCTTTGTTTTATCGATTTGATTATTAATTCAAGATTGAAATTTGTATCACGTCCAAAGACTTGCATCAAAAGTGAAAAAGAGCAAAGACTGATCGATGAATCATTTAGTTGTAAACCAGAGGTAGACCTTCTAAAAAAAAACAACCTTGAGTTTGAGTGATACCATCAGGTAAACAAATCTTGCATTAACCAATGTTCTGCAGAAATCAGAGGTGAATGGAAAACTTCCTTTCACCCAAAGGTTCCCCACATGTGCCATTCAAAGAAATGTGACATGATAAAAGTACCTACTGGGACTGTAATCAAGTTTTAACTAAAACAGCACCATGAGAACTAGAAAAAGATTCAGTGGGAAATGTAATAGTAATCTGTGGAGCATAATCGGAAGTCATGGTTGAACAAAAGAGAGCCCAACTGGAAGGTGGGGTGGGGGTTTATTGGAAAAAGTGAGAAAAAATCAAACTCAAGGTGGATCACAGCGTCAGTAACTTGCGTGACTGTGTAGAATCAGCATCCTTTGATATACACATGTAAGGATACGCTGATTAATGCACTGGATTACCAGTTTAAGTGGCAAGCATAAAAATACAGAAGGGATCCTGTTTCCGGAGGAGAAGATCCACCACGCAGTAAAAAAACAAAAAAAACAAAAAAAAAATTAGTTTGATAGAATTGGGTGTAAAACACTCGGATTGATCGAGAGTTGCTGTGCTGGGGAAACGCAACGCAACACGAGAATGCGTGTCGACCGCGACCGACAGTATTGAGAACGCATCCCGATCCGAAGGGTGGTGGTGATAAGTAGCAACATCCACACATGATACATATAAACCTTTGAACTAGAAGTGGAGGCCCACTCTTGATCACTTTGGATGCATGCTCTGGTTTTGTCGACGGTCCAGTTTAACGGACACTGCTCGAGTCGCTTTCCTTCACTGCGCTCCTCCTCCACACAGACTGACAGTGAGAGTTCATTTGAACTAGTTAGTGCATGTCGAGGAAGGGTTGCCGTCGAGAGAAATACTCCCCATAGTCACCTGGAGTGATCCAGTTTCTATCGACTAATTTTGATGGTGTTTGTTATGGAGTCACGCATGATTGAAGCCATCAAGTACAATGTGTTTTGTGTGTTGCTGGGGACTGCTGCCTGCACACTAGGATGTGGTGTAGCTTCCGTTCTCCTGCTGAGCTTATGAGGGAACTCATTGTCTCCTAATGTTTGCTTAACCATCCCGCTTGAGCATCTAGAGTGTTGCATGCGGGTCACCCAGCGAATTCTTCGCCCACGTTTTTCCTCAATTCTAGGCATACTAGTATGTCTGTTGCTCACCTCCTCCGTGGATCGATCTCTACTCTGAGAATCATTAAAGCTAGTGCACAGTAAACTTCATTTCTGTCTCGTCTTAGATGCCTCGGGATACGATCTGCATATTCCGTGTATAGCGTTGGTTCCAAGCACGTTTGAGTGTAATAGAGGAGGTGATTCAGCATACGCAGGGTGTGCATTAGACTGGAGTAATTTCACAGATTCTGCTAGCGTCCATCGATTGGTCTGTTCCGTGACTGCCGTAGGAAAGATTGTGAAGAGTTTGGGGCGCATTTCGAATGATGGGAACTGGGCACATAGCTGTCCTACTTCCTGACCAAGAGCACTTGAAGCGAACTCGCCCTTGGGGGGGGAACATCATGCATGAGCCAGATGTTAAAGGAGGAGGGGATGTACCGTACTGGAGAAAGAAAGTGCTCGTAACCAATACTGACGCCACAGATTCGTCGGGAGATGCAAGCACAAGCGAGCAGTGGCCACCGCGATCCTACATGTGCAATTTCTGCCGACGAGAGTTTCGCACTGCGCAAGGCCTGGGAGGGCACATGAATGTGCACAGGCGAGAGAGGGCACAGGCAAATCAATTGGCGCACCTAACAAACAGCAACGAAGCACTACTCGCTAGCACAAACTCGCAGGATGCCAACAGTGCGACGTGCATGCAAGGAGAATGGAAACGAGGATATTACAATTATCTAAATGGCGCCCCACTCTCCCAGCAAGCATCCACTTTATCTTCGAACCAACCACTCGGCGGGATATTACATTCGTCTGAGAAACCTGGTGACACTGTCGACCTTGAGCTTCGACTTGGTCAGAAATCTGATTAAATTGCATTATTATTCGGCTTCTGTAGAGCATGAACAACTCAATGTTACAGATAGCGGACTTGACCGTGCAGATCGCCCCGTCGGTCCATGTTTACAAATTGCTACAGTTGTAGCGCATTTGTCTCCTTCCTTGTAAGGAATCTTTGGGTTCGTGAAATTTGGCAGAAAGCTTTAGCTTCAATGTAGTCTAAACCCTCAGTGTTGTGATCACCTGTCATCAAAAGATTTCCAGATCATGGTTGTTATGTACATAAAGTAAGAAGAAAGCATCTGCAACAGCGCCGATCTCTCTTGTAATTGGTTGGAGAGTATTAGACAAGAGTTGGATTGAGCAATGTTCCCACCTCGATCCAAATAGTTATGGCCGGCTTATAGGGCCTACTCTGCCTTAAAATTGCTTCTATACATGCAGATTATAACAGTTTTTCTTGTTATAAGTTTGAGATCAGCGCCTGTCAGTAACAAGAAAGCAATGTTTATAGCCTTAGTTCCTTCAAAATAGTCTGTAGAAGCTCTAAGTTGTGGAATCTGATTTTGTATTTGGATGACTTATCATTGCATTAATGAGTTCAATATAATATGATTGCGAGAATTGAACGATCGTGCAAGAGAACATGGACCTCTTTCGGTTCGCAGCCGTTGGAAGCCTTATGTAGAGTCTCCCAAGGCTGGTCCAGTCCCCAGACGCCGAATCTCAAAGCTTCGTCATGAAGAAAAACTTTCCTTTCAGAAAGTCAATTAACGGTACTATACCATGGGACAGTACAGTGGTATATTCTCCCATCAATAAACTTTTCTCTTAGGGTCAGGTGTACAGAAAATGATGCAATCACTGACAATTTTTGTCATCTCTCGCGCAACCATCTGTGCCGCTGCCTTCGCCAAATCAGGATTTTGCCCTTGGGCTGAGCTGCAATGTTTTGGGGGCAAGCGTTCAGTTCCGAAACAGCTTCGTCGACAGAAACCCAGTCAATGGTTGTCACAGATTTGGAGGACTTGCGAGGATCCAGTGGTTGATCCCTTCACTCCTGCATGTTACCGAACATCGAGCGGGGAGTATTGAACCCTAAACTGCCAGTTCATCACTTGATCTCGCCCTTACTCCTTCCAAGTTCCAAGCATCACAGCCTTGCCAATGCAGCCAAACACCCAAGTCGTGAACTGACCTCGTTGTTGTAGTAGTAGTAGTTGTTGTTGACGAGATGGCCTTCGGTTTCCAGGGCACAGGCCTATCCGATGAACGGAGTTGTTTTCGGCGCACTGCACTGCCTAATTTAGCTTTTGCAACCAACTTGACGATCAGCCAAAAGTTGATACGCTGGAACACCATGTCTCTGCTCTGGCCGCATGACTTTTTTTGGATAAGGAAGTTGACTCTTCAGAGCAGACTCTGAAAAATGACTGGATTTGTAAACTACCCATGACGTCGCGGGAGGACTTTCTCCGGCGTAGGTATGTCTATGCTACTGGAAATATTAGGTGCACCTTTTAAAGGCTCCAATGTACTGTCCATCCTGGAGAAAAGGTGGCTAATATTCCTGCATTTAATGTCTGGCTTTAGTGGAATAAACATTCCCTTGGGTGGAAAAATAAAGAACAAAATCATGCTTGATCGCAAATTCAATTCTGTTCTTTTTGTGTGTGTGTGTGTTCCACTCACTGGCTGTGGAATTAGAACGTTCATATTCAGTTCCAAAATAAAAGAGACTTGTAAAAGATGTGCATGCGCTCATGAGTTTGAGGATAAGAATGCACTGGGTCCACATGCTTGGAAGTTTTTTGACCAACTTCAAGCACTTCATGCATGAATACTTCTCACTACGTTTCTCTTAGTGTTTTCCAAAATATCGAATTATATATATATAGATATGCATATACTGAAATACAAAAACAAAAACAAGACATACGTGTGCATGTGTGTGTATATATATATTTTATTTTATTTTATTTTATTTTACTTACTTATTCATTTGTTTGTGAGTGTGTGATTTAATATGTAGGACATGATGACTTTCAAGTAACAAAACTATTATATTTTAGAGCCAAGCCTGTTTGATGTTTTTGTTCTTCTTAGACAATATTCTTATCCACTGTTTTTAAAATTTGCTGCAAGTATTCCGATGTAAAACATTCTAAAGTTAGGATTATGATGTATACTTTTCATACTTCCAAAAAAACAAAATTAAAAACACAACAAATTGATAAAATAAAAAAGGAAGAGGAAATAAAACAAAACAAAAAGATCAATAAATCTCGTGGTTGTAGCAGTCTCACAGCACTAGCAAAACATGGGCATTCCACATCGCAAACACAATAATATGCAAACGTAATGATGGTTGCACTTTCCCGATGTGGCGAGAGCAGGCTGTCAACCCACATTGAGATAAGTGCACAGTGCAATTATATTTGTAAAGAATTCTGCAATGCATATCAGAAGGAACTCTCCTCCCTGCAATCAAAAGTATAGGGTGCCATCATGACAACCGGCCTAGACTGAGCATGGCTGAGGGACCGTAAAGGACCCAATAGCCAACCCATGAGCGAGACCATGTCCAAAGGGGGCTAGAAATAAGCTCGCAAAATCTGATTGTGATGATGGCCTTGACTGCCTGTTTTACTGGTTTCACGCATGATGGACGACGCAGCGCGCGGCGCTCTGCCTCCTTCAGCTTCGACAATTTTCGAAGTGGTGCCGTCGCTGCGGACGCACCCAATCATCAGGATGGTGCTGAACTCAGGACTAGATCAATGGAGTGCCACACAACTGCACAGCGAGCGAGAGAGAGGGGGGGGGGGGGTGGGGGGCAAGCTCCCGGCGACTCATTCCCGCCGCCCCTGTCGTCTCCGGCTGCTAGATCTCTATGCACGTCACTTGGTGTTGCAGCTCGAGACTCGGTGCAATCTGACAGGACCGACTTGGTGACATTCATTCTTTTGCCGTAGCTTCGGATGCGGTGCTGAACCCAGTCTTTACTGCGTTGGAAGCTTTTGAGTTTCGTCGGGTGAAAGTGGCGGGGGTTTATTTTTGCCTGGTTCAAAGATGCGTAGTAGTATTGATCTCAAGCTGTTCGCAAACTTTTTTATTTATTTAATATTATTTTTGTCTCATTCGCACAGTTAGCAGTGCAGAAAGAATTTATTTCGTCTGTTACGTGGGGCTTCTGGTGGTCATGTGATTAGACTACGGCTTGTACTGGGAATGCGTAGACGTGAATAACTAAATTTCTTCAGATCTGATCTCCATCATGTTTGTCTGTCAGCAGTGCATTTGGACTTTGACGTGCTACTGTAATTTCCTCCATCTGCTGCTGCTGCTGCTAAAGGGATCGGGACTATGACGTCGCTCCATGGAATAATTTATCAAACCAGCTTGGCTGAAAGGACAACGAGGGATTTCTCTTGAAAGCGAGACACCCGCAGAATGGTTGACGAAGTAGTAATTAATACAGCTGCTATCTGATGTGAGAGAGAGATATATACGCAGCCAGTAAAAAAAACAGATCAAATTTAGCAGAGTACTGGACGTGGCTGTATGACACTGCAACAGCTTGGTGGAGAAAGATATTACAATATCCAGCTGATGAAATCCCGGAGAAATTAAGTTGACCCGTATCAATCATGTTCCCCTCTCAATCCCTACAGCTGGTTTACCTGACATGAGATCTGACCCTTGCCTTTTCTTTCTTAGGTAAGCTAATGAGTTAAACATCTCTCTTTCCAAAATAAAAATAAAAAAATTGTTCCCCTAATGCACAACATATAGTGAAATTTTTCAACATGATGTTCCTCGAGCAACGACTGACAGTTACAATTATCTACAAGTATCACTTGACCATCATTCGAGCGATCCCACTAGCATGAAGAGTGACATCATATGCGCGACTTCTGGTTCAGTCCTGTGAGACACAACGTCTGAAAGCTACTTTGAAATTCGAAGTTTGAGAATGTGGATGACTATGAACAAACATATACAGCCAAAGTGGCAGGACCAGATGCATTTGAGTACATCACTCAAATTATTCTTTGCAATCATCAGCGTTGTAGAAGAAATATTGAGGCCTCCTGCCTGTGCCAGCTTGCACATCTTCAATTTTGAAACCCTTGTAGCCAGATTCAGTTGTCGTTGCAAGACAAACTTCAAGCATTTTCTTCAACAACTTCCTCTGTTTTAGGTATGTTTGGTCTTTGAACTCAGCTATTGGCATCCACTGTACGTCACAAATGGGAAGGAACCGTTACATGAGTCACATCTCTTAATGTGAGCTAAGCAACAATGAAGTGATAAGATATGCAAATTTATGAAGATAATTGAAACTTTGAAAGGACGTTTGAACAAATATATTACACCTTGACAGCGGTCAATTCACTGTCCTGAACAGTAATTTCGGAGGTGACTGGTCGGAGCACACACAAGAAGAAGATATCAGATTTTCCAAAAGCCGCAGCATGTGATTGTCTGATAAGCAAACACCGTGACGACTGGTTAGCCCAGAAAGAGACGACGCGGCGCAATTATGAAAGCCACGATTTTCACTGTGAAATTCAGTTGGGTTCGAAAAGTCGAGTCATCTACAGCATGTGGAAATGTTGACTATTGGGAGGGTTAATATACCTGAATCCGATGACATCAACGAACTCCGTGTCAACCTGCAAAATGATGCATCGACGGGAATTTTAAACCTCTAAGCGTCAAAGCTTACCATAAAGAACTTATTCGAGAATATTGAGTACAGTCCTCTAAACTTTTTAACTGCTCCGTATTCTTATATTTGATAATCTGAACAATGGTCATGTGGAAGTCAAGCCGAAACTTGGAAACAAGATTTTTGCTTCTGAACGTTTTCTGTTTTGGACAACTTCCATGCATCAATGTAGAGATCTAATCAGGAATTATACCCCAGTTTCCTCCTTGACCTCTCGAATTGCGCCAGAAAAGATGTCCTCACCCTGCTTATTGAAATTTGGAACTCAGAAATTAGAATCATTAAGCTTTGCTGGAAGTCTACTGTGCATCTACTACGGGAATCCTCATGCAACACAAGATACAGTACCAAAAAGTTGTCTCGAGAAGAACATAATAGGAGATATGAACCGGCAGATCTGTCGGACGTTGACAAACCTGGTTGACTGATCCTGTGGGCATCTTCCAGATTCCAGCACCTTGGAATACTCCACTCCTCTCTTGCACAGCTAGAATCTGCAATTCAAAAAGGCGCCGCAAACAAGATATATCATGTTCGTTATAACAGCTTGTAGGCTTATGTAGCACGTAAGAAGTGAACTTTGTTGCTTGTTAACACATGATCTCTAATACTTGTTAATGCTTGTTGATACGTTTCTGATGGTGGTGGTTTTATCCATTTCACGAAGAGACAGATCTGAAAGTGGTACCTCTTGTTTATCGTTCAATATAAATGCACCAATTCCAACTTGGTGTGAGGCATTGGCAGGAACTGTTGATTGTTCTTTAGATAGCCAAGTGACAAGCATCACATGTGTGGGCTCCGCATGATGGTATATGAAGCCGGCCTATAAAAGGCACAGATGACACATTCTGGTTCTCATTAGCATTCTTGAGTGTGAGACTTGCTACTGAAATCACGGAATGTTTATATCAGAACTGGTGGAAATAACTCATCTCATTTATGTTGCAAAGCCAAAATTAAATCTCTAACCCAAAAAAAGTCATGCAATAAACAGGTACCTTAATTGCAGGATCCACCAGGTAGCTGTTTTCAATAGTCAGCTTCAGCCAAACTGCTTTTTTGCCCTGGAAAATTTATTAATTGCAAAAGTAACACGTTTTATCAGCCCTCAATAGACTTTGTCTAGACCCATCTTGAACATGAGCTTTCATAGAAGTTTTGGTTCTCCTTGTGTCCTTCAGCATTTCCTGAAATCTGGAGATCAGATATACACACGATTCTTTCTGCTTGGTTCAAAAGCAAGTGTTTAGTTACCTGGGTTCTCCATTGTGCAAGAGAATGATTCAAGCTATCAACAAAGACGGACGTATTCGTCGGTAAGCTTTCGACGTCGATTACGAGGCCGCCATATTTGTCCTCAGCAGATATCAAAGTCTGAACTGGTTGATCATTCATCAATGTATCCAGTTGGCAAGGAAATGAGCTGGAACGGGCCATTCTGAATCAGGTGCAAGTAAGACAACGAGTTGTTCTAAATGATTGAAATGAATAGACAACCTTCGCGCACCAAAACTGCACTGATATTCTGTCAACGTCCACTAGTTCGAGGGAAGTGAGAGTAGGCTCGATTAGCTTCTGCAAATACCAATGAACTGACTGTGAGACCACGATGGGATCGTGCATTCAAAGACAGGCAACTGACAGTCAACGCTGAAGTAATCAAATTCAGTAGCTAGGCATTGATCAATGACAAACGTCATGGAAACCACTGGATTTCAAAAGTTCACAATATGGATTCAATTAACACCTCATAGAAGTGCAAGTTACTAACGTGACTATGATACGAAACATCAGAAGCATGGTCGCAATAAGTGCAGGTACTGCAGTTACACCTGTTAAATTGCAAACAATCCCAGTGAAGACGCCAATTAGAGCAAGAGAGCTTTGATCGGATTATTATCTTGTCGGACAGACCTCCCACAGTCAACACTCCATATGGCCTGGTTACTAAGGCCGACAAAATCGAATCTCCGCAGCTGAATGAGCAACTTTCGAATGCCGACGAAAGCCTGGAAATTCTGAACAATCACCTATCGTAGACTTTCCCAAATCTCGTGCCAGCCTTTATTTACATTTCCAGCGCGAAATCCTCGGATTACAGGCCAGTCGGCGCTCACACTGCGCAGTACAATTAACTGGATGCAGAGGGTATTAGGTCACAGAATCGTCAGTCCATGCGACCCTCCGCTTTCTCTGACTGCATCAAAATCACCTTAATGTCAAAACAGCAGAAAGAGTAATTAATTCGCTCTCTTTTAATGCTTAACAGTGGGCAACGGTAGGAGATCCTACCACCCGCTGGTTATCAGAGTCGGAATTGGGCATATCTGCAGTCACATCGGCTGGGCTGCCACCATTTTGGGACTTCCCGCACAAACGTGATGAAAACCGCACAGAGAGCTGCACCAATTGAATACTGTAAAAAAAAAACGGGATCACCGCCGTCGGCAACACTGTGTGAAATAGAAGGTTCCCTAATTCCGAATCCTGCAACGTTGCGGCCTCTAACACGACGCCGTCTTCGATCCTCTTCCCGTCGTTCCAGAGAGGCCTTGGCCTTCCTGGATCGGCAACGCGGTGCGACCGCGCCAAGCAAAAGCCTCGTCGAGCACGTAATTTGGCTGAGGCCCTGCTTCGGGGACGGATACACAGAGCCGCGACGGAGCTACTCGGACGAGGAAGCGTGGCTTCCTTCCGCGCCAATCCATCCAGTCATCTCGCGGCACGGACCCACTCCCGAAAACGTAAACGTAAAAGCGTAGAAAGCCACACCTGACTTTTCTTCATCATTACTCGGCTTTTTGGATCGCCATGAAAGTTTTAGAAATATCAAAATGTTATAGAACAAAACAAACCAAACCAATTGGTTATCTTGTGTAAGATCGAATGAATGTATCTTTCCTCCTTTATTTGTAAAAATATACAGATATTTACTTGTGTAAAATAAAAATAAATAGTGTTTGCCAACAAAAATCACTAAATTGGCTGAAGATCTTAGCACCATTTAGAATCACAAATTTAAATTATTTAAAATCAGTTCTACTTCCCCTAGAATTGTCTCCTTGCTCCTAGCCCATGTCCCCATCTTAACCCTCCCATCCCTCATCTCCCTTCACAACCCCTATCTAGAGTGCTTTTGTGTTTGGTTTAACCTTCTTAGATTAAAAAAAAAAGGATTACCAACTTGGTAAAACATATTCTATTATGTATATATAGATTACTTAAAATCCATTATTATTTGAATTGGTTATGGTATAATGATACTCATGCCATAAATAAGAAGTTGTGAAATACTAAAGTAAGATTTTAGAGTTTTGAAATATCTTTGTTCATTTATTTTTTTTCAAAGATAAGTGACTAAAAAATATGTTTTAATTGATTTCCGATGTACATATTCAATGCAATAACTTTCATAATTTTATCTATTAAGTTTTTTATTTAATACATCTTCCATATATATTTTGTATGAATTTGGGTTTTTTATAATAAATAAATTAATGTAAAAATAATAGTAAATTGATTTAATAAACTTGGTTTATTTATATGTATTCATATGTTAACTTTATTATTTGAGAAGGTTTAAATTACAATAAAAACTCTATTCTCAACCAAAAATATATTGTAAAACTTTTGAAGATTAAAATATTATTTTATAACTTTTTTATGCTACATTTTCATCACAAAAACATCTCTATTATATACAAAGATCAATGATTTAAGGTTATTGCAACAATTATACAATCCTTTAGTGTGCTAATAGATTTTCTCTAGTAGATATATATATATATATATATATATATAGAAAGTGGTTTTTTGTCCTAGTATTTGTCTTTATTGTTTGTGTATCTCTCTCTCTATATATATCTATATATATATATATATATATATATATTAATAGCTTTATTACAATCACATTATCTTATGAATTACTTACAATATCATTTTTTTGTGATGATTTTTTTATTGTTCATGAAAGCTTCGATGGTATTTAAGAAGGGAATAATAAAAAATGGATATGTATCAGATAAAAATCTTTGTGCTTTTGAGCTTGTTGTTGACTAAAAGTATATATGGTTATGACTGATACTCAGAATCTACTTCAGATGATTCTGAGTAAAAACATGTTTGATTCTAATTAATATTAATAACACCATTGATTTTATTTTATTTTGATTTTTTACTGTACGAAAATTATAACATTTATTAATTAACACATCAATAAACTTGACATTAGTAATAATTACTCGTAAAGAAATTTTAAAATAATTAATTTCAGATATTATTTTTTATGCAATTATAAACAACAAAAGATATAAAATATAAAAAATAAAAAATAAAAAATTTATTTCTATTAACTAAGCTTGCAAGTCATTTTCTTTTGGATCTATATCACTTTATCCGACATCTTTATCTTAGCTTAAAATTCTCAACAATTTACTTTTTAACTTTGTCTTTTGTATTTTATTTAATATTTTATCAACAATCTTATTAGTTTCATATATTAAAAAATATTAAAACTATATCTCTTATTATTATTTAAGCATAGTAATTTTTCTAATTAAAATACAACATAATTTCTAGATTTTAAAATTTAATTATTTTTTTGACAAAAAGAAACCTACAAAAGATTATATTAGATGTTTATAGATGTCTCATAAAGAAGATCTAAAACATCTCTAATAATAATTAAAATGGGCAAATAAAATAAACAAAATAATCATAAAATAAGTAATTTATTTCCTAAATGAAATAGATTTAGTTCTATTAGAAAAAAATATTGGAAAAATATCATATATATCCTTCAAATATGCTGAAATATCAAAAATACCCTTGTATTCTTGATTATATAAAATATATCCCTCAAATTTGTGATAATAGTAAATATATCCTTATTAGTGATAAGGTATCACCAATATTTCTTATTTATTTATTATATAGGATCTAGACCATAGGTTGTGCACCTTTTCAACTTTATAAAAATTGCAAAAAAATTATCTATTTTTTTTTTTTCTATCAATTTTCAGACCACTCCTCATATTATAGATTCTTAGTGGCGCCATTGCTCCCATCTCTCTTGCAACACTTTTTACCATACAACTAATCTTGTCTGCATTCCACCATTTCAAATCTTCTCAATTCTTCATGCCTTCATTCCAATCTCCTTTACTTTACAAAATCAACTCCTTGACGTGCTCTTGCACTTGACCAAGCAACTGGTCAAGCTACATCCAAAGCTCCCTCAAAATACTACTTAAGCTACTAATTCACGAGCCCAATAGAAGAGAGACTTGCCAAAAGTGAAGATATTTCAATAGCTAAATTTAATACAAAAGAATAGTTTTGAATTAGTGATGCATTGCCATTAACGACGATTGGAGTTTTGCAACAAGTTTCAATTGATGTTCAAAGTAAGGATCACAAGAATGATGGTGTAGATGAAGGCTTAGGTCATGGTAGCCAAAAAGTTGTATAATTTGAAAGATATTACAGTCATATGGATAGAATTTCAAGCAAGATGACAAAAGAATTTGAGATAGGAACTTGAAGTTGAGTTGGCTAGTTTATAAGACATTTCAAAGGAATATCTAAAGGCTTAGAAACAAATTTTTAATTCATTCAACTTTATAGAGCCATTATATTCTTTAAGCATTTCTATCATGGACACAAACAACATTATAGCTTCTTTATCAATTAAGGCTACTTTTTAATTTAATATATTCTTAGATGGGTAAAAAATGTTACAGTTGTTATTATATCCCTCTGATAGAAGGTCTCTTGCCAAAGGCACAATTTTTAGAGTAATTAAAGAGCAAGCCAATGACTCATACTTTGAAAACAAGTTGCAATTGTTGCCCATGGGTTCAATGCCAAAGACACAATTCTAAGAGTAATTAATGAGCACCATATGACATTGATGATATGTAAAGGCTAAGCCATTCCTGAAATATAGAGTAGTAGAAGCATGATATTGTGAGAATACAAGTTTATAGAACTAAATGCATCCAAACTAGCATCTAGGCAAGCAAACTTTCTTTATTGCTTGGATGATGATGTGAGCTTGTAATATTGACAAAACACTCCAAAAGTGAGCCTCTTTAGTGTTTGTATTCTATGTTGAAAAGGGTACGAGCAAAATCTATGCATCTTATGGTCTAGGCCCCAAATAATGACTAAATAAGGAATGTTAGTGATACCTTATTACTAATGAAGGTATATTTCCTATTATCACAAATCTAAAAGATATTCTTGATATTTCAATATATTTGAAGGATATATATAATATTTTTCCGATTTTTTTCATTGCTTACTAATTTTTTAAATAGAACAAAATTAAAAGCAACTTTGTTTTGTTGTATGTGCTTCTTATAACATTCTCTACATATTATGATATGTCCTCATCTTTTTGCCTTAGGAAGTTAAATTACTTTGTGAACTGCATTGTGGCACTAAGAAGAGTGAAGCAAGGAGAATGGATGGTTGAAGTTTTAACAGATTTTAACAAAGAAAATGAAGAGGCCAAGGATAAAATGCTGACCCAAACACCTTTGATGAATATGGCTTCCTATTGAGATAGGAGGATGAATATCAAGTAAAGGCATTTCTAATGGACAGAGAGGTTGCTAGCTCTATTTAAAGCTACCTCCAAAATCGTCTTTACTTGAGTCAATTCGAATGTGGATAATAATAAATAAATAAAAGTTAGTGAAGGCAAGCTTTCCTTTAACCTGCAAAATTCTAATTCCAACGATTCCAAAATGCTCAAAGAGACACTATAAAGATTCCCTATGAACTCTCCTCATTTAACACTGAGATCTAAGTCATCGGTCTCCCATTTTTCTAATACTTTCTCACCCACCAATTTCTCCTTGACTAAACCCCCACTGTGGCATGCAATTGAATATATATATATATATATATATATATGCTGATAGATTGGAAAACTGAGGATACCGTTGAGAGTGAATAGAAACGAAACAATGGCGTGCACAAGTTCACATTTAGGTTGATTTCACGTGCGTCGTTAAAGCAACATGAAATGGCAACCTGGGGTGGGGTAGGACCAGCAAGAGCACAAGCCAACTCCACTAAGTCCAAAAGTAGCGGCACAGCTACTTTTAGAGCTCATAAGTCGGCGCAACGCGCATCGATAGCTCTGCAGCAGTGCGAGTCACCGGGAGGTGGAAGATGCAGCACGAGTCCTGTGCATGCCAGATGGCAGATCCCGGCATTGGTCTTTCCACCTCCGCGAGTGGTCTTCACCAGACTCATTGCATGTCTGCAGCCTCCGACTTTATCTCTGCAATTCTCCATTGAAAACTGGGCTCTGGTGTCTACCTGAACCTAGATTCATCAGTGTGCGTGTCGGTAACGTTTAGGTCCACCGATTGCAGGCAGTCGGTGCTGTGCTTAGTTGATTGTTTTTCTTTGTGAGCTGCAGCTTGGTGAATCATGAGTTGCGGTGTTGCAGACTTAATGGATTCTGTGCTTTCACACGGTATCCATACTCCGTTTTGTCGGTGGTCATTGATTACGGCGTTTGTTTCTAGTTGCGCATGAGTATCTCGTTGCTAGTCGGGGTCACTGTTTGGTTCTTCGGGTTTGAGCTTCGTCTTGTCTCAAGTGGCTCAGTAAGAGTGATTCTCGTGTGGCACGGTGGTTCGGAATGTTGTTTTTGTGCAGCAACTGAGAAGTTGTGGAGGATGTGTTGATGCAATTGTACCGAGGAGTGTGGTTACGTTCGTGATTAGAATGGCAGTCTAACTGTAAAGTGCAGAGGTGGTGAAAAAATACAGGTAATCTTGTTTCTGGAGTTCATTGCCTGGAGGTAAGAAGGCAACCTTGGCTGCGTCATTGTGAACTTCCTCAGATTGACCTCTCAAGATGTCCATACTAAGAATCTTCGGTGCTATGTTAAGGAATTGAGGAGATGGGTGGTTTCAACACCCAGGTAGACGTTAGGATAAGAGCCCATTTGTTCTTTGATTATTGAAAGTGTGGTCTCATTTATTCAATCATCTCGTCTGACATTTGTTAGTTCGAATCTGCTCGAATTGCGTTTTCATTTCTGGGTTAACTCCTTAAATTATCATTTGCAGCCTGGAAAGAAGGCTGTATGCAAGAAGCCACGAATACAGGACCTTCAATTCTCCAACAATCTACATGACTTCAACAGTATTAATAGGTTTTGCATGAAGAAACATATCGCAGCATCTCTTTGGAACCTCAGGTTTGATGCCTCGGTTCAAATATCTGTCTACAATGCATGAAATCAGAGATTAGCGCTCTGAACCATGAGTTGCTACCGATAGGCTTGTATGTAGTGTGTTTGCTACCTCGTGATGCTTTTATCGGACTGGATTGTGCGACTCAGTCTCAAATGCAATGTGTAGGATGGGTTTATTCTACATCGGGGAGGGTTTTATACGACATGATGCTCTTAAATAGCCTTTCATCTACTCTTCCTGCCAATGCCCCTCACTCAGTCCGGGCTGGCTCATACGTCTCGAGTGATCAACAAGGGATGATCAAATTACCTCGTTCAGTACTTTAATGAAATAGCATTGGGTCCAGCAGTATTCATTCTCGTGTTAATTAAGTGTTAGCTTGCAAGCTGGATGTTTCTTCACTGTTAAGAAGTCAGCGGTCTGCATAAGCGATAAATCAGTGGACAAGCATAGTGTTCCTCATGCAGGTCATGGCCGTGAAATAGAGGTGTAGCCATATAAATGACAAGCAAAAGATTCCAACAGGAATTGTCCATGAGGTGTGCAAGGAAAGTGAGCATTTTCACCAACCATAGTGATCGACTCTCACGTTCTACGAATCAATCATCGATCTGCTCACGAGACGAATTTAGCCAGTAAGGGACCTTCTTTCTCCAAGTAAAGTATCCAGAGAACTAAGCAGCCGATGAACTTCATGTATTTCTCAAATTACAGGGCGTAGATTTCTTCGCAGGAACCATTCGAGGGATTAAGGAGCACCTCTTAAACTGCCTAATCCACAAACAGTGACGTATCCTTACATATTGCATTAGTGGTCTCCTTGCAAGTCCTGGTGCTGAGTGAGAATATCTCAATGATGCAGATATATTCTAAATTTGTTGCGGTAGCTAAGTTCAGGTGTTCCAAATCCCAGTACAGAAGCAAAATCTTCCATCACACGCTGTTTGCAAAAAGTCGATTGAAGTGGATCGGAGGGTCTAGAGTAATGATGGGGATTCTTACAAGGAGAATTCTTCGGCGAGGAAATCAGACAAGTTGTTCTTACGTTCCCCCTCTCCACTAACATCCTCCATCTCTCTGCAGAAGGAGGAACAGGTCGACATCAAGGTACTTTGTCAGTTGTGTTTCTTTTAATCAATTAGCGGTCCTGCCATGTTAAGGTTTAATCTGCGACATGCGATGATTGCTGTTTCAGTTCACATCCTCGCGGTGTGGTATTTGTCAGTTACGACTCAGCGGGTGTCATTGATTTAATTCCAGAACAAGAGTTACATGGATGTGAGCGAAATCCTCCAGAAGGTGCTGGATGAATGCATTGAAATAACGCAAGTTCTTCAGGGAAAACGAGCCATCCCAATCCTTCCAGCACAACTACAATGAGTGAGCTATCTCGTATTTCGCTGCAGTCCGTCCAAATGGCTCATGTGAGAGCATTTCAATTTGTGCACCCTGTCAGAATTATACAGTTTTTCGAGGTAGAAATCAAGAACGCTACTTCACAAACGTCTTGCAAATGACACTGGAACCCTCGACGTTAATATCGTCATCAGAACAGCCTCTTCGATGGAGCTGGATGCAACGAAAACAACTAAATATAGAAGAAAACCTACTGTTCAGTTGAGTGAATCAGATATTTCTCCAATGCATAACACTTCAAATTGGATTAGAATGCATATTGAGGTGACATTTTCAAAAGCGAAATCCTGGTGTAAGTTCTGACTCTCAGTAGCAGTGTGTTGGTTGAAAGGGGTCGCTGAATTCCAGGCATTCCATGGATAAATACACTGTTGCAAACTTGTAATGAGATTTGATCTTCGGACCAGGGACTGTTATGCATCTTTTGCTATTTTCTCCAACGCTTCATCAAAAGACTTGCCATCCACGCCATAGAATTCCAAACACCACCAGTAATAACTTCATGCAACTACTTCCGTAAAATCTCTTCGAGTGAGTTCCAGGTGGTGCCTGTCTTTTGTTGATGTTGTGGGATTGACCAATATGTTCAGAGCGGTATCTACAGGCGCGTCTTCTCTGGCCTGCAAGAGGATACATGCACGGAAAACAGATACCTGGAGGAAAACATTGTTGCAAATACTACACCAGAAATTCCTGAAGGAGGTTACATGAGAAAGTCCAGAGTGATGTCTGTTTGTGTGAAAAAATCTATGAATCTGTGTGTGTCGTTTTACAACAAGGGTTCATGTAACCCAGAGATGAGTGACTCTTTCATCACATCTTAAGGACACAACTTAAGATTACTATGCTTCATTACTGATTACTATGCTTCATTAGAGGCGTGACGTTATGATGTAGTTTAGTGATCATCTCGTATCACACTAATTATGTTTTAACAAGGGTAGCGTCAATAAAGGAGGTAATGCAACACCAACACAACTTTTTAAGGAATCAGATTGTTATCACAAATCTTGAAGAGTTTCATGTCCATTTTTATGATTGGTAAAGAACAGAAATTACAAAAAAATAAGTAATTAAATAATTTAAATCGTTTTTTAAACCTAGAATCAAACCAAATCTTGAAGTATTATAAAATCGAAACCAAGGATCCAAAAGAAATACATTCTTAGCAAAAACAAATATACTGAGGCGATGTCAAAATCTTCTTCTATGTCACTGTTCGTTAAGACAAAAGGAATCTTGGTTTTGCACACAAGATATGAATTGCTCCTGAATCCACATGGGTTGTTCTTGTAACCTGAACCCTGGTCAACAATAGATGGATTATTCTTGTACTCTTAACAGAGTGCAAGCAAATTTTATAGCCTCAGATCCTTTGATTCAAACTCATTGTGTCTCTATAACTATTTTTTCACTCAAATTAAATCTAGTGATATAAAATTAATTACTTCATTTTGATTTATTGCTCTATGCATCAAACATCATCTTCGCGGAGACTTGAAGCAAGCTTCAAGCCAGGCGATACAACTCTTCATATATAAAAGCCATTAAATTCTAACCAAGCGTCGGTGGTTTTTAACTGCAATTGAGTAACAGAAACAATCGGGGACACCACATAATAGACTTGGCCTGTGCAGTGATTGTTTATAGAAGAACAAAGCTTTGATCGAATATTGAATGTGATGAGATTGAGTATAAGTTTTCACATTATTACAGGGAAAAGGTGAGAAAATACAGAAGTGGGCAGAAGAAAATAATGATTGGTACCTATTCTAGACTAAAAATACACCGTATTATCTCAAACAAACTAGCACTGCTGACTCCATGTCTATGAAACCTAAAATTTGCAATATTCTAGGTTTGTCGGCCGATCTAGAACTGGCGTTTTCCATAAAGACCTCAAATGTCTCAATACGTAGTAATCTTTGATAGTATAATCTAAACTGCCACGGACGTTTCCTGAGGTCTCTTGCTTGTCTTGATACCGCTGATAGCTGGACCAAATACAAAGAAATTCAAGGCTATTCTTAGAAGAATCATGTACAGTAAGTGCATAATTTTTACTGTCTACTGCCATGATTAATGAAAAAGATTTCTAAGATTGGAGACGAAGAGTTTATTCTGAAGCTGGGATGACGTACCCTTAGCGTAGTCTTTGGCTCCGAAGACTGCAGATCCAGCGACGAGAGCATTAGCTCCAGCCTCAGTAACCTATCATACACCAATCAGGATGTTGACACAGGGCATCTGGCAAATTTGCTTGCTCACAAAAATTACAACAGGGGATTATGCTTCGTTTGAAGGATGGTAAAAAATGAGGGCAAGAGATTCACCTTGTAAGCATTCTTTGGAGTGACACCACCGTCCACCTCAATCCATGGGTTCACGCCCTGAACACAGAAGGACGAGACTAATTTAGCGTGTAAAGAGAGTATGATAACAGAATATCATGCAACGATAAAAAGGCTTCTGCAATGCAAAAGCCTCGGTTGAAATAGAACACTACTCACCAAAATTTCACACATTTTCCTAAGGTCGCGGATCTTCTTGACTTGACTTTCAATGAAACTCTGTCCACCGAATCCGGGGTTAACGGACATGATCAAGATCAAATCGACGCCTACGAACAAAAAGACGGCCAATATAAGAGAAAGTAAACACTACTTCTCTTGAAGGATCAAAAAAACTACTGATAACTTCAACCCCTAAAGGAGTTTACTGAACCTCTCCAATTGCAATATATGATCAAGAATAAAATGCAGATCTAGGAGCATCAACAGTATCAGGTACTAAAAACGCTCCAAGCTTCATAAGTAGTTTCATATGCCAAATGATGTGATGCAAGTATGAATTGAATGTTCCTTACAGTCCAGAACATATTCAATTTGAGCCAAAGATGTTCCAGGGTTGAGCACCACTCCAGCTTTTGCTCCCAAACTCTTGATCTGCACGAGGGCGTAATCTAGATTAGAACAAAAACACAAAGCTATTTCAACCACAGAACGCCCTCGCCTAACATGCTAATAAGAAGAGAAACCGATGCGAAATGACAGAAGCTTTCGCATACATTTCCACCCATAGAAGAAATGAGAATTCTCGGTATAAACACTGCAAACTGGCTAATTTTTACTCGGAGGATGTGCCTGATTGATGGTACGATGTAAGTGGATCGTGGAGGCGTTCTCGCAATGCACAGAAACAATGTCGGCACCAGCCTTGATGAAATCTGGGACACGCTGTTCCGGTTCAACGATCATCTGACGAACAAAAGCAGCGTAAGGTGGACACCTTGGAATGATATTAACTTCTCTAGCGATACAGTAAGAAAAGAAACAAACATCCAACAAGGATGTATGCAGAAACTTGCATTCCTTAAGAAGTTTCTCAAGCGAGATTAAGCTCGACATGGTGAGGAACAACATGAGTAGTCCGACTTAAAAGGTGAAGATGCTGACCAAGTGGACGTCAAGAGGTAGGTCGGTGACAGGGCGAATGGCGTCCACAACCAGAGGACCGATTGTGATATTGGGAACGAAACGACCGTCCATGACATCAACGTGGATCCAATCACACCCAGCCTTCTCAACAGCTGTGATCTATTACAAAAAGGTAGCAAACACAAGAAGATCAGTCTTCCGCTTCACGAAAATCACACATCTAAAGGCGAAAAAGATACCCTACACATTTATCAATTCACCTGCATTGTGTGTACTAGAGTTATGATACATGGGGCTTACAGTTGTTCTGATTTACGAAAAGTCAGCAGATAAAAATTAACTTCAGTTCACGAAACTGCAGACATACGACTAGAATGAGTTCTAATTGGAAGTCCTGACTCTGAATTTCAGGACCAAAAATGGGAAACTACAATGAGCCTTCTCTAGCAAACAGCAATCAATACCGCTATTGCAGTCTTCAGAACATGTTCATGCTTCAAGCCTTTGAGTAATACAGCAGTTTAATCCAGAATTCGTGGCCTGGGTATACAAATGGTCAGGGACTCCAATTCCCAAAAAGGAAGAAACAATTTGATACCTGCTCTCCTAACTTAGAGAAGTTGGCGGACAGAATTGAGGGTGAGACAATAATGTCATTCTTGGAGAATTTGTCCACACGGGAAGTCGCTTCAACAACTGGTCTGTGAACCCTACCACTGCACTCAAAAGAAATTTGTGGATCAACAGATGAGATCAACCATAAAAAACAAGAGTCGGAATCGAGCTACAAAAATAAGAAGTGAAAAAAATAATAACAATAAGAAAAAAAATAAAAATAAAAACCTCGGCAGAGAAAAACACTCATATTACCAAACATACAACAAAAGGGAGGGAGTGTAGTAGATTCACGATCGACACGCGATTTTGCACCTGGTGGCAGCGATAGCCTTGCCCACGGGGGCTTTCTCGCCCCATAAGCTACTCTGCATAGTGGTCTGCTGCGGCAGCACCGCAGCTGGGGATTTCACCGCACATCCTCCGACCACGGCAGCGCCAGTCATCGCCATCGCCATCGTAGACACCCCCTTCTCTCGAATTCGAAATATCCTCAACAACCCAGCAAGTCGAAAATTGTACCCACTTGAAACACAGCAGCAGACACGATCTCGATCGAGGAATTGGGACGGAGACAACTTGCGCACTACCGAAGTATCGCCGACGAATTTACACAACGATGAATGAGCACACAAGTACGAAAGATTTGGGTCCTTGCGGAGAACAGAGATCTTCGAAGATAAGGAAAGAGCGGGCGTGAAATAGGAAAAAATGCGCACGAAAATCGACCCTCGACAAAACAGGTGGCTCTCGAACGCCGTTTCTCGTCCCTGAAAACCTGAAATTCGTCTGATTCTTAACGATTCTTCAGATTCGTCCATATCCCTGGCGATTCGTCGGGTTAATGGGAGCTACGTGCTCTAGTGGTGACGGATCTTGTTCTATCTTCGTCGGTCTGAGTAAGAATTTACATAGTTGTTCTATTTAGTGGCGTTCTCTATTGAAGGAGTAATATCTGTCAGTGGACACATTTCTTACAGTCGAAAATTCCAGTAGTATACAAATTGTACATGTAGATATACATACACAAATTTCAGTGAAGTTCGAGGAAGTGACTAATTATAATAAAATTACGTGAAACGGAGGAGAAGTGCACTGAACTAAATAGGAGTAAACTAACAAAAACGAAATATTCTTCCGAGTATATAGATATATACCTTTTATATTTGTTACAAAATCTATATATTTTCAAAGTTGTGTGTGCTAGGAAGGTGAGAATTATAATTATTGTTATTTTTCTTGCTTTAATGCTATGAAACTGTCTACGTCAACGATCATACACAACCAAGATTGATAGAAGGAAAATGAATTAGGAAACTGTACATGACGAAATGCGAAGTCAGAGAGTCTGTTCCGTCCTTACATAAGGCTTAAATGGGGCTCTGAAGATTCACAACGATACAATAATACCATGTAGAGGGATTGTACTCCCTTGTCAGTAACAGATTCAACGGAAGTGGAAGCGACTGCCTCGGCTCATGTCACCAACACGTCCAACACAAGACTGAATGTAGTAAATACTGAAAAGCGCTGCAAAGCGTAATCAAGTGGATGCCATTGTAAGTAAAAAGCGTGCAGTACATTCTCAAATGAATCAGAGCATTCCACTAGTGGACGATAACATCCCCGATATCAACACCATGCACCTACTCCGTCCTAGTCAAAAAGACTGAATCCCATGTCATCGTCAGACTCTTCCTTTTCCTCAACCTTCTCCTCCTCCTTGGCAGCAGCTGCGGGAGCAGATGAAGACTCAGTAGCGGCAGGTGCAGCTGCTACAGCAAACTTAGAGGGGTCCTTGAGGTACTCCTTGGTCTTCTCAGCAAGAGGGAAAGAGTACTCAGTCTCCACAGCAATAGCCAACAAGTTCTTGTACGAGTTGACGAAGGAGTGGGGGACAGCAGCCAAGGTGGGGTAGTTCAGGGCCAGTGACACTGCAGCCACAGTGGAGACACCAGCAGCGAACTTGTCCAACAGGTCGTCTTCGGTCAGGTCCAACACCTCAGGTGCGAAGACTGAACCGTTGTCGTAGATGTTCACAACGACAAGACCGTAAGAGAATGGCCTGATGCCCAACTTCGCCAAAAGCGCAGCCTCGGACGATCCGACCTTGTCACCCTTGTGGACAAGCTCGACAGGGGCGATAATCTCGACAGTACCCTTGTTAATCTTGGTGGGAATGTTAAGGACCTGGAGAGTTCAGCATTCTATTCGTCAGAAACCTTCAGTTAACAGCGTTTCATAACTGCCATAAAGAACGACATCAGAAAAAGGACACTTGCCCACTGCGATAAGCTAAATTGACTGACTGGAATCTCATTCATAGAACATACCATATACCGAAGACCTTACCTGGAAGAAAGATGTCTGCGAGGGATCCAGACCAGTGTTACCGGGGGGAACAACCACATCGATGGGGGCAACCAAACCCACACGAGCAGGTGCTCCGACCTTGTACTTGGCAATCTCCTCACGGACTTCCTTCAAGTCTCCCTTCGTGAAGATGAGACCGACATTTCCCTGTCGAGATGTAAAACGAGTCGTTAGAAACCATTACTGTTGCATATCATGGTGTGCTTCATTGTGCGACCTGAATTGTTGTGGCAAAGCGATCGGCAAGTTTTAAACCATAGCATTCCAAACGTTGAGGAATCAAAGCTATCTGTGCAATCACGAATCATAGCCTCTCATTACCAAGAACTACGCAAGAGATAGGCGTCCGATATTAAGACCTAATGACATCTTCGACGTCTCTAGAAATCAAGTGGTCATAATATTTGCAGTAATTTCTCCGGTTGATTGTTTCACATGATAGCCAAAATCGGTGGCTTTATCACAGAAGCTGTAGAACTACACCAACATCTTCATATATTAAATCTCGTTCTCGAAGGCAGGCTCTAACAGAACTAAGTACGACAGGGTAGTCAGAAAGTTTGAAGCAATAAAATGCCATCATAGCGGCTGTCAAACCAATAGGGAAACAATAGTTCATCATCCCACCCATGTTCGCACAAAGTAATGATAGTCAGACGACCTAAAGCTATCACTTCATAAATTCAGGGAGGGTACTGACAACACAGGAAAACGGCGCCCTAATATTCGACCTAAACACTAATAAATCATAACAACTTCAATGAAGCACAAATAAGGACACCCAGCTCCGATGTAGGAAAGAAATTACAAACAGCTAAGAGCGACAAGCGTAGGTAAGGTTTCACTTACGACTAAGGCGGGGAGGAGCTCCTCGTAATCCTTGTTGCCGGTTTTCTCAGCGTGGATGCGGATGGACCTCTTCATCATGGTGTTCTTGCCCATGAGGACAATGGAGTCGGGCCTCAGACCCTTACGAATCTCCTGCAATTGCTTGGAACCAACATTATCGGCGGCGCAGATCAACACCTGGGAGTACTCCTCCAGAAGCTGCACGAGCTTCTTGTCGTAAAGAGCCTTCTTCTCGGCCTTGGTACCCTTGAAACCCATTTCGGCGGCTTACTCTTAAATCGCAGGAGGCGAATGGGGGGACCAAGCCGTGATAAACACGGACAAGGTGGGCAATGAGATGCCCTTTAACCCTGAAATTTGAGCTTCGAGGCGAAGCGGAAGAGAGCGGGGAAAGGCGCGGCGGCAAAGAGACCTACCTTCCCTTCTCCCGAAGCTTATGTAGTGAGGTTTTAGGGTTTTACAGGGGAACGTGTTCCCCGGCGGGTCGAAGTTTCCGGAAACCAGGAAGAGTGTGGTGGTTTGGGTGCCTCTATGAATAGAACCAGCGTTCCCTACGCACGGTTGTTTGCTTTCCTTTCTATTTGAGTGCGGTGCTGTAAAAGAAGGTATTCAAATCAAGAGAATTTTACTTTGAGGGTGGTGAGTTATAGGTCTCTCTCGTCACATCTCTCAAACATCTCCCGTGCATTAATTTCTTGGGAAAGACCTTCAAATGTTAATAACACAATCAAAGGTTCTGTTATGTTTTTCTGGAGTTTGTTTTACGTGCACGTAAACAATCATAAGTGACTATGCATTGTCGATTATGTCAATCAAACATGTACACAAATTAATCATGCAATTTTTATCCATAATAGATATATATATATATATATATATATATATATATTGTATGCCCAACCTTTATAATTACTAATATATTAAATTCCCTATCGAAGATGGTTTGCAATTTCAGTAATAAATTCTGACTGACGTAAGAACAATGGGCTGAGGTCGCCCACAAATGAACTGGGTGACAGTTTGTTTTGAGAGTCATTTTGTGCATCATCCTTTCACCAGCGCACTCACAAACAACTGATAGAGTCGCAGAATGAAATTAGGTGTAGTATTCTTCTAAAACAACCACTATCTTCGGCAGAAGCAAAATTCAGGGTTCAGAAATCCAGTACAACAATACATATGCACACGGATAACTCAAGTGGTGTACTGTCATCGTTTTCAACCGGAGGTGATTCACGATTCTCCTCAAATTTTAGCTATCTCACCCGATAGATCTGCTCTCATGTAGCGTTCAAGGAGTTTCAAGTGTAACTTCACGATGGGTAACGATGTTCTTTGAGGGATGGAATCTATGTGCAGTGTTGAAGCTAATTCCGTTGCAGAAGTGTTGAGTCCTGACCAACCACGACTTCCATGCTGCTTCGTAGGCTCCCGAAACATCTAAAGAACAGCCACAGAGTGGCATGTCATTTTCGGCAGTCCAACAGCGGGAAAATCGCAGTACTGTGCATAATGGTGTATTCCCAGTGACGAGAATAATTCATCGAATTTTAAGTTAACTCGTGAAGATAAACAATTCGAGCAATATGAAAAATTGCATTAGTTTCCATGAGAACTACACATGGCCTCTGCCATTAGTTAGGGCACTAAAACACAGAAGAGCCACTCGAACTGATTCTAAGCAGCCGCCTTGAGAGCTTGAGTTCGCTTCTTGGCCTCCTCCACGATGGAAAGCTTGATACCCTTGCCGCGAGGAAGAGTGATCCAAGGCTTGGTGCCCTGACCAACAGTGAACACATTACCCATACGGGTGGCAAACTGCTGTCCAGTAGAATCTGTCACGTGGATGATGTCAAAGCTCCCTTTGTGCTTCTCACGATGTTGGATCACACCGATACGGCCTCTGTTGCGCCCTCCAGTCACCATAACGATGTTCCCGATATCAAACTTGATGAACTCTACGACCTTACCCGTCTCGAGGTTGATCTTGACAGTGTCATTGGCCTTGATAAGGGGATCTGGGTATCTGAAAAAATACATATCACATGAACATAACAGAACATAGCAAAAGAGAAGAGAAACCAATTTTCTTGTGTACAATGCCAAAGTATCCAGAAAATAAAAATATCATATTGTAAGTGCACAAACACCCAAAGCCAAATACCTGATGGTGCGGCCATCGAAGGTAGTGATGTGTGGGACACCCTTGTCTCCAAATTGGGCAGACCTGACTTTGCACAGCTTGTACTGGAGAAAACAATCGGAAATAAGAACTCCTCTAGAAGAGAGGGCATACTAAAATAGATTCAACAATAGACTACAAAGTACACAGTAGTAGGAACATAACTTCGATTTATTTTTACAACCAGGTAACACACTTGATAGTGTATGCAAGTGCGACAGGAATATATCTGCGGATTGTACCTTGGCCTCTTCCGCACTGATGTTGTGCAGTGTAAAACGACCCTTGTTGTCGTACAACAGTCGGAAGTTCTCGTTTGTCTTGGCGATGGAAATCACATCTGGTATCACAAAACAAGAAAAGCCAACTTCAGAAACTTTTGTAGATCATACAAACTAAACCTAGAGAGTTTTCCATAGGCACATTTACTATATAAGAGAAAAACGAAACTAAATGTCCAAGAGTGATCTCACCCATAAACCCTGCAGGGTAGCACTTGTCAGTGCGGACCTTGCCGTCGATGGAAATCAGACGTTGCATGACAATGGCTACCACCTCACGGTAGGTCAGGGCATACTTCAGTCTATTTCTCAGCATCACAACCAAGGGCAAGCATTCCCTTTCCTTGTGTGGTCCAGGAGATGGCTTGGGGGCCTGAGAAACAGACAAATATCATCAAAATAATGCGTGGCATCAACCAGGTACAAGAACGTAGAGCTCATGAAGATCTTCACTATCAACAGTGGAAACAATTAAGGAAAGCCTGTACCGCACGCCGAATAAATGGAGAGCGACACAAGCAGACGAATGTCTACATCCAGAGAGTAGCCTCTTCATGACGATTACGACTGTCACATCTTCCCCTCCGACATACGTTCCACAGAGGATAAATTTCTAAATGTCGAAGAGAATTCGGGTAAAAATATAACCACAACCTAACTCACGACGTCGACACAAATAGTACTAGCATCAGCGAAATTAGGTCAACGTGAGAACTTACGAAGGCACCACCCAACTTGTCAAGCATCCAATGTCTGGGAGCATTGAGCCTCTTCAAATGCTTCTTCAAACCGCGAGCCTAGAGACACAAGAAAACAATTAGTTCGTAACAAGCCACACGTCACTCAGGAACAAACGCACTCTTCGTACAAGTAAAGCAAGTTTACGTAAACCGATAAACAACTCAAGAATCACGAATCCCACTCTTTCTTTACAATGCTCGCGAGAGTAAACTCTTTTCAGAAATGAATTAAGCTCAAACCCTAAAACAACGTATCACGTGTACCCTGGGAAAGCTATGCCATAGAAAAATCTGGTATAATGTAACTAGAACGAAAACGTTGGATTCGAAAGCTTCGATAGGAAAACTCACCATGGTTGCAGCCGAAGTGTGAGGCGATCAGCACAGAGAGATGGGCAAGACAAGCTCCGGCGCGAGACAGGCAAGCTTGAAAGAGAGCTGCCGATCGGGCGGCTCCTTGCCCTAGTACAACCACGCTCGTGGATGAATGAACTACAAAGTTCTGCTCACTCGTCATTCGAATGAATGTCATCGCCGCTTCCACGTTGGAAGGCGTTGCCCTATTCCCACACGAGCAGCCTCGGTGATAATTAATCACCACAACGTATAACTCTACGGTACACCATTATATCCAAAAATGAATGAATAACTAAACAAATAAATAAATAATTCTGTTTGTGTGTGTGTATGTATGTATAGTTTATCTATTATTGAAACTATTTCGTTAGTAATATTTTACATTTGAAAGGTGTCAAAGTGCATGGAATAACTGGAGGAATGTGTTTGGAAGAAAATAATTTTAAGAGCATCTTGGTGTTCAAAATGAATGTACATACTTTAAAACAATGTAATAAATGAAGTGAAACTACAGTGCATTATTGCTTGGAACCAGTGATTCAAACCTTTGTTTAAAATAATTGTAAATCAAGCACCTAAGTTTATTTCATTTTGTTTGAATTAAAAATATTATTAAGTTGATATTTGTTTCAAAATTACCATGTTTCAATTTACCATAATCTATTAAGTTGACAGATTATGGTAATTCGGAACAAATAATATATTATTAGATTGAGGTAAACAACTTAAATAATCTCATCTTAAAAGATCAGACGTATTCAAAATCAGTGACTCCTGCAATAATAACGACGAAAGATTTGTCCGCCACGTCAGATTCAGAAGACGTGACTAAGCACGACCAGCAACGTGAGACGAATCCACGTCAGCGACATTTGTCACGGTTCCGAACCGAGGACGAACCTAGTCACAGGTTGCCTCGGTCTCGAGGCTGGCCGTCCCTTGATCACCCGCCGTGTGCTGTTCACACGACGAAGCTCATTTATCGACCTCCTTATCCTCTCCATGTAAGTGTCTTTTTTTTCAATGTAAGGCTCAGAAATCAGTCGCATCGTGCCGAATGCTCATCAATCCGTCGAAACTGTACTTAAAGTGAGGCGTCTGTGCAGGTTTTCGAGTTTTATTTTATTTTATTTTATTTTTATTATATTATATTTTTACTAGAGATTAGCACTTGAAATTCGCCGAGAAGTCGAAGCAGAAGGAGGAGAAGAAGAAGGGATTTGAGTAACAGCGACAATGACAATGATCGGAGCTACTGCCGGAGGACGTGCAGTGCTGGGAGATCAGGTACAATGGTGTAGTTTTGCGAGTACGGAAGAGAATGGACAAGTGATGGCAGTTTCCTTGATGAAGGAAGGAAGATAATGACGTGGTGATAATGTTGCGGTGCAGTTGGTTTGTGAGAGTTGTGATGGCTGGTTGCTGGAAAGTTTTTTTTTTTTTTTTTTTTTTGTTTTAGTGTTCTGATTCTGCGCTTTTGGTCTTCGCGGGAACGTGTTGAAGGAATAGTAGTTAATTTATCTGGTTTATTTTGTAGTTTATTTATTTTTAATTGAGTTTTAGCTGTATTTGTGAAGATCCTGTTGTCTGGATGGACTGGATTGTGTACCATGAATAGTCAATAAACACTAGCTCTCAGTATGCATGAGAGTATAAGATGTGATTTGCATACGCGTTTTCATGTGGATATCTGAAGGCGCGGGCACGCTGTTTCGGCTTCAGACCTTCGTGGATTTGTTACGCTGCAGTGTGTTCAACAATTCGGGTGCACGATGCCCTCCCTTTCGCTGCCCGTTTCGAATCGATCCATGTACAAGGGAATTGTGAAGCAGAGATCGTTGTTTGCAACCTGAGCTAGCAATGCAGGGGATCCATTGAGACGGCCTACTGCTCCTCGTTCCGTGCCATCTACTGCTACGCCAAATGAGCCACATTACCGCCAAATGTTCATTAGCATTGACGACTGTTGGAATGGGAGTCATGAATCGTGAGGTTTGTTTACATTTTGTACCCTGGGTTTCCTTTGTTTATAAGTAGCAATAATTCTGTATAGTGTCATACTGGCACCGGTGCCTGATTATTGTACGGTTCCTATTGGTATTTTTCATCAGTATCTCATTTCTGTTGTGCTACTGCTGTAGGTGGTCACTGTTTGGTATTGCCGTAGGCTTACTAACTGAATATGCAACTGGGGCCAACTTCGTGGAGCAGCTAAAAATCATTGTTTCCAATTTGGGCATTGCCGAGCTTGATTAGGGTCAATGTGCAGTACTGCTTTTCTCGAAGGGAAATCTGCGAGAATTTTCACTGTATACCGTCAGCTGTAATAATTTTCTCCTTTTTTTTTTTTTTTTTTCCTTGACTGTTCTGTACAAATATCACGTTTTCAGTGGAATTCTTCACCTAAAAGGAAAGTGTTTCGTTCCGTCATTTGATTTTGAAGAGAGTGCACATTTTATCAATTTATTGCCTTCAGCAGATACTTAACTGATTGTATTTATCAATTTCGTAAGTACGAAGGCTATCTTTTACGTTTGATGGAATTTCAATCAAAGTGCACATAATTAAGAGAGTGTAACTCATGCAGATGATCAGAATGGTGATACTTCACTTCCAACACCAATCCAGCAAACACAAACGAATCCACTGACTTATGAACCGCAGCTGGGGATTGGAACAACACCCAATACTTTTACAACTTGCGCCAGAAACAAGTACTCTCAAAACTGATATTTTCGTACTATAAATAGTACAAATTTTACAGAAGCGGGCCTCTACAGAAAGCGAGTATTAATTAGAGTCTAATGCTAAAGTGAAGAATCATGCAGAGCAATCTTGTCAACATGTAGGCCAACTATACAAATGGTTAAACTACGACGAAACCATCAAATGGAGCTATCATTGTCAGCAAGTGAGGAAAACTAAAATAAAAAACTAAAATACTAAAATAAAATCCCCAAAAATAAAATCAAACCTGAAATGTTGTTCACACTCGCCGCCTATGCGATCACACAATTGCACCATTGAAGAACAACAAGCACGGTAAGGGTCCAACCTAATCTCCTTCTCCAACATCGATTCGATGGTGATTAATTATCTCGTAGAATACCCAGAGTAGTAGCCTCTGCGCTCCACAGGCTCTCCAGAAGTCGTATATTCGTCTTATGTACTGAAAAATTGCCTTCCACAGGTAATCCATACATATATGCACTGACAATATATGGAGCGGACTGTTGCTCGGACAACAGTGTGAAGTTGAAGTTGAATTTGAAGCTCCTGCCACCCACACAGCCTACGCTTGTGCATTTGATTGCTTGCTGCTACCAAAGAAGTTGAACCGATCCCAAGTGGCTCCGAGCTCAGTGCTGTACTCCTTGAACACATACTCATCCAGTTTCACATTAGCTGGGACCTTCCCTTCACTGTAACAAGTGGAACACAGGTTGAACTTCTTGGTGGTTTCTTTAAACCTTGATCCAATTATGACGTAATCGCAAGCTCCACATGTGACCCCATCATGACGGATACGGTCACCTTGCTCAAGCTTCACCAAAGTGAGCAAGATGCCGAAACCCCAGTTGGGGTCATCAAACATATTCTTGAACTCTGGATATGAGACTTGCACTTTGTCATCCTCGCCGTGGATCTCTGCCAGCTCACTTGCGCCCTGGAAGAGAGAAAAATAGAGTGAGAGGTGAAGAGGTAGGCGTGTGGTATCATAAGTAGCACCCAGAGATCAACTCATCATGAAGATGTGTGCAATGAGAAAGAAGCTACAGTACGAAGCAGGACACATGGAAATAGAAACAGGGGAAATATAATTAGGGTCAGTTTTAACTAGGAATGCGAGGTAAATACCTGAGTAGGAAGATAGATTGCTCGAAGGGATTTGATGTAGAGCTTCACATCTGCATTAGGAGCAACGCCTTCCTTTGGATGTGACACTCGCCGTCTAAGAATATCAAAGACTAGCCGCTTCCTCTTCTCCACTGGACCTCCACAGAGAGGAGCCAACACTGCAAAGAACATGCCCACGTCGACTCTACCAGAACCAGTTCGGTCTAGAATTGACAGGATGCGCTCGTTTATAGCCCTTACAGCACTCTGCAGACAAAGCACAGCTCTTTGAGAGGAAAACGGAGGTGTAACAGCAAACATGAAATTTGATATCGAGATGAACAAAACCTGAGTGTGCAAGACAAGAAGAGGGTGAAACAATTTTTAAAAATTAATCAAATACTGGTAGCTCTTCGTGAAACGACTTCGTTAAGTTAAAATGAACACACCTGAAAGGTATCTGGATTTAAATTTTTGAGAAGCCCAGGTAATAATTTTTCCAGCTCTGCTTTGCGAACCATTTTCTCGTTTTGAGAGGGTGGAGCACCAGTTTTGTCGTTGACACGTAGATATCCGCTTTTATCTACAACTGCTGAAAGAGTATTAATGTCACAAGTATTCAGCCTTGTGTGTTTCTGAAACTTGCGAATGACGAGAGCGCAAGCCAAATATTCCCGCGGAGTAGTATCATTATTTGCCTGCCTGAATTTGGTTCTATCCACCAGAGTAAAGCTGGGCTCTTCGACACAACAACCAAAAATAACCAATTAGTAACGATTCATAGAATTATTGATCTTCAATGGCGTTAGAGCGGCTACGAAAAAGAATGATCAAGGATTTAGAATGCCTCCAGATGCGCGTCTAGAGGAACTACAAATGCGCGTGAGATGCACAAAGTCTCTCCGCGTCTTGTGCAGGCTGACGAGTGAGCCTCAAATTGAGAAATAATAACGTATTAACAGGTCATCATCCACAAAAGAATTCAAGCCCCACTGTCGGACTAAATACATACCATGTACGATGGTGCGGCGACCAGTAGCACTCTGCTCAGCATTTGCCGCAAATGCATTGATGCTCTTTCTCTGTTTCAAATGCTTGATAGCATCGTAGATGTCCAAACGGTTTGTCATTCTAAAAGCCTCCTTGAAAGCCTTCTTAGCCTCCTCTTGCTCCCCAGCTCCTAACAAGGAGACGGCTCGGTTGAGCTGCGCTCTCCAGTCACGAGGCTTTAGCTGAATCACTTTCTGGTACATTTCAGCAGCTCGTTCATACCTGCATCAATAGGTTGTGATTTGTAAATATGCTCACAATTAAAATTGCTCACCACAAGAGTGATAAGACAAAACATGGCTTGTGTATTTCCAGGAAGGATTCAAAATTCGAACCTTAAGGAGTCTTTCAATAATCCACCTAGATTGTAAAGCGCATCCACATGGTTAGGATTCAAGTCAATGGCCTTCTGGAACTCCGAAATAGCTTGTTCGACATCGTGTAATGAGTGCAGAGCTGAACCAAGGTCACAATGAGCATCTGCATAATCTGGTTTCAAGACTAACGCCTCTTCAAGACATTTTTGAGCTGCTCGGTATTCACCCAAACCATAAAGGGCACTTCCCAAGAGCTTCAAAGCACGATAGTGACGAGGATTCAGTATAGCTGCCTCGCGATAGTGGTCACAGGCACACAACAGCATACCCTCACCCTCCAAGGCGATTCCGAGGTTGACATGCACCTGAACAAAGGAAAGCAGCTCATTATCGAGAACTAGACCTTCTAGAACAACAAAAGAAAACTTACTACTGATCACCAAGACTTTTACCATAATTTAGAGGGAGGGGCATAAAAAACTAACGCTTCTATCCTTCCACCAGAATGTAGCACGTGCAGGTGGGGTAGGAGTAGGAGGGCAACATGATTACGCTTAAGCGAACTCTCAGAAACTCTAATTTATAGAAAGGTGGAAATATAAGTCAAACCCTACCTGTGGAAGAATACCCTCCCATTCCTGGGCATTTTCCTCCCCTGCCTCAAGAGCCTTCTGGTATGAAGTCCTGGCTTCCACGAAATCACCCAAAGAATAGAAAGCATTGCCAACTAAGAAGTGAGCCCGCACATCCTGAGGCTTCAACTGAACTGCCAGCTGAAAGCTAACTAGAGCATCCTCGTACCAACGACGCTCAAACAAGCTCTTCCCCATAGCCATGTGTCCATCAAAGGCCTCATCTGGGGTATGCACTTTCCCCACCTTGTCACGTAATTCCTGGAGCTCTTTCTTAAAAAGACCCAAGTCGGTACCCAACTCTCCCTCTCCACGTCTCACCCCAGCTCCTTCTCCTTGCTCTGTACCATCTTCCCAGTCGGTAGAGCCCAGACCATTGAGTCCAGCCCCCTTCTTGTCCTCTCTCTGCTTCCGCTTCCCCTCAATCTTCGTGTCTTGTCTCTTCAGTATATGCTCCAAGTCTTCTATCAACCTCCACGTTCCCTCAAACTGGATTCCATTGTTTGCAGACTTGGCCCATTCAGGAACCCTAGACAAGCGCCTGCTAACCTGGCCTATGGTTTCATTTGCAATCGAGGATGAGGGTTTCACCATCGATGCAGTAGGCTCTGAGGTTGGTGATGCCTTTGGCGGGGGAGGCTTCTCAGGCAGATTTAGTCCCAAGGCTTCAAAATCCCTGTCCACATCACCAGCTCCGTCATCGTAGGTTCGTAGCAATCCCTCAAAGCTCAAACCCCTGCTACCTTCGATGAACTCCCCGTACGTTCTGAACACTTCGTCAAGAATGGCTTCGATCTGATTTTTACTAAACTTAACCCGGGGGTTGACAGCAATCACCAAGCTGGCCATTTCATTCCTATTGAGGAATCCATCTTTATTATGATCAAACTGATTGAAGATACCTTGTACTTTTAATGCTCTCACGCTCAATTCCTGATCGTTATCCATCTTCCAGTCTCTAAAACACTAAGTACTGTAGACAAGTTGAACACAGGAACGTTGAGCTCGTGAACATAAGGGATCACGCCTGATCTTTTATTAAATTTTCGTCAAAACTTCGGCAAGAATCTTGCTAGTGCCTGTGTAGCGATCTGGATAATGATTGAACGTGTGAAGTTTCGCCTGCCATTACATAAACAACATACCGTTCAATTAGAAAGTGCCGAGGAGAGAAAGTATTGAATAGCACGACCACGCAGTTCTCGAAAGACAACCGGGATAAAGCCACATGTACCAACCTTGACAATACATAAGTGTACGACACAAAGACTGTCCCAGCACATTACACAGCACAACATGCAGAAACTGGGACTAGACATGCAAACTCCTAAATGGAGTACCGCCAGTGCAGATGGGGCTGATTGATATGGAAAAATATAATTCAACAATTCAAACCGAGAAACTATGTAATTATGAATCTATACTTACCATTATGAAGAGATAATCAATTGATAGAGTGATCATCCATCGATGAAGCAGTCTTTCACGTTAAAAAGCACTCGTTGCAACAGCATAACACTTACAATATGACTGAACACAATACCAGCCATGCATCCATTTCTATATCACGCTATATCTTCAGCTAGAAATCTTTCTTCTATTTTATTTTTTTGAAACAGCTGAACAGAAACTCTATCGCTAAGCAGAGCCAGAATGAGCGCGTGGCAACTTCATTAACAGGTTCTATTGAATAGCAAGAGTCAGACGAACAGGAAGCTATTACTGCAATATGAAACGAGAACTGAGGTAATAAAAAGTTAAAAATGAAACAGTTGCGACCTCTTGACTCACGGAGGGATACGCTCAGACAAAGGTATAAGCGACCAAAATATGCAAATAATAGAGTCACTAGTTTTTGCAAACCATTGGAAGTACGATCAATTAGAAAACCTATTGACACTCACCAAAAGAGGCAGGTCTCAAAATCAACTTTGGATCTCCTCATTCATAGCAAACAACAAACACTCTCTCTGCAATTTCTAAAAAGAAGCCTCCATGACTCGGCTTCAGATGCGTCTCGCAACACGGACGCTCGTGTGTGTGTGAGTGTGTAAATTTTCTGTTTCGGACAATAATCAAGAACCCAGTCACCGCCAGACAGAGAGTCTGGAGCACTCTTGGTTACACAACAAAGACGCATTCACAAACACGAAATCGCTCGCGAGAAAGAAAACGAAAAAGTCCCTCTGAGCATTTACAACATTAGCCTAAAAAGTTACGCCGCGCATCCTCAAACGACCAGCATGCATCTCTAGCTCATAGCTGATATATAGTGCTTAGAGCTAAGTTAAACTTCCAAACCACGAACAATGCTCACTTCACCAACATGCGCAGGAACGAGGCAGCTAGAGTGCATTGCAGACAATCACATGGGGCGACTCTCCGAATCACGTCTAACACCACAACGGGCCAACAGACGCAACTCCAACTCCAATCCCGACAGAACAACGGCATTTTTCTCCAAAAATAGCGTCCAAGGCAAACTACCCCTTCCCCCACTCACCCTTCCACTCCACTGAAAGCGGCACCATCCCAACAACGACATAAAGAGGGGCTTCCAGGGACTACGACTTGCGAAAAACAGAGTGATGCCCACGTTCACAGATCCAGCGTCTCCGACAACCACACACGGATCTCATCCAAGTCACCGCGAGTAACAAGAAAGTCTACTTTTCCCAACTGGAACGGACCACAAAAGATAGCCCAAAATGGAAAAAGAATATGGGTGCTGAATCACTCTCACCCCAAGTCGCAGATCGTCAGCATCCCGGTGCTTCTTCTTCCCCTCGCATCAAGACAAAATCCGTGTGAAGGGGTGGAGTTCCGACAGGCCAGGCTGCTCGCAGCGAAGGAATGCCATACACCGAGGCAGTGATGAAAAACCCTATTGCCACCACCCACGGTGCTTGCCAGTGTTGTTGTTAGTCCCTTGAGAGAGCCACTAATTGCACAGATGGCAGACCATTACGCCTCCTAACAAAGTATTCCAATCCGCTTGATCGGGCCCTGATCTGAAGTGCATGGCGAGCAGTCCCTTTCAGCCCAAGCTGAGTGTCGGTCCAAAGACCGAGCGCGTGGGTGGTGCGGGCAATGGCGATTGCTGGGGACGACGAGATTCCGATTCGCAGTTCCCGATTTTCGATGCGGCGTGTATTCGGAGCATTTATTTTAAAGTTGCTGAGTTGGGTAATTACCTTTTGCTTTCGTACTTTCATCCCCACCTATTTTACTGATTCATTTGAGAAACAGAAAGAAATTACTTCTCAAAGTGAAAGTATCGTTGCTTGACAATAGATTTCGAATCACATAAAGAACGGGGGTCACGGCCCAAGCGCCAAAAGATTTGCCATCACAGTTTCGGCTCTTGTGTGACGACCATTCTCAGAAGGATGTTGAATAGGTCATGCGTTGTCCACAATTAGTAACTGTGTCGCTGTATTTTTTCTTCCACAAAGATCGCGAAAGCTCGGTCTCATACCCGATTTCGATAAAGATCACGACCCCGGAATGCAAGCCCCTCTCTCGCTCACACCTACACCAATATCAACTTACGCAAATCATCACGAGCTTGGTAGACTGTAATCACTCCAAAAATGAAAAAGAAAAAAAAAAAAAAAAGTGTCAGATTATCAAGCAATCAGAAAAATTCGCACTGGGACCTGCAATCTTTACTTCCTAAAGAGGATGAATGTTCTTGGACGGGCAAAAGCGGGCAGCACTCTCAAAGAAGTTCGATGGGGGTTGATTTACCGTGCCTCCTACAATGCCGATGAAGGTGAAGAGTGAACTCAGAATCCATATACCACATCACATCTCAGAAACTTGTCTCGGCGTCAACAACTTGCTTCATTATTTGTGTAAAATGCTCACCTAAGACTAGTTCTACTGCAGTAATTTCGTTCCACTTTTGAGCTTCAACATTTTCGTATAGTTTGATTGTTTATCCCTTTGTTCATGGTTTCACACAAAGATGAGAAATACGTCGGTTGCAGGGAGCCAGCGGAGAGCCAAGGACAAAGCTGCATCTGAGTGAGACGCGATTATCCAATCGACTTCCCCGTCGGGATCATGTCATGCGCAGGGGTTTACTAATTTCGCTAACAGAAATTGAAAGCCATGCAAGCGCGCGCGCGATTCCATCATGGCTATCACTGCAGGCCTCCTGATACAATAATTCATGCAAAGGTATGATGAAGAGTGTACTTGGGAGTGGATCCTGTGAAGCTGAGATTGACCAAGTGATGTGGATGTGTGGAGGATCCCGCAAAAGAGCATCAGAATCCCTCACACCACCACCCAACTCTCCTTTTTATATTTTTCTATTTTTCACCTGCACTGATCTCAAGTCAATCGCACAATACTTGCAAGGAAAAGCCGAGAATTCCATGGTACCCAGTGATCAACGTGCGTTACGTAGACGTGCATCTGCGGGTAATGGATCCTGATCGGGTGTGGGAATAATGCTCGTTGCTGAAGCGAGAACATGACAAGTGTGTGTTCCAAAATTACAAGATTATTTTTACTGTTTTGATAGGGCATCAGTAACAACACCGACGAGCATTTTCCTGCACTTTATTGCGTCAGAGTACAGGAAGCCATTACAAAAAGCCTGCACGACAACAACAACAACAACAACAACATCAACAAAATAAAAATAAAATAAAATAAAATAAAAAAATGCATTACCATGTTTTAGGTGAACTCAGAGATGTCTTGTGGGGTACAGAATCGGGTCATTCACTCATGGTTACGAACCCTAGTTTTTTGCCTCTGCCAGGTTTTGCTTCAGTCCTGTGGCAACTGCCGACAATCGCTGTCTTTGCACAATAAAACCTGGAGTCTACAGCGGAACAGGAAGATTTACTAGATGTGCAAGAGTTGAAAGCTCAAGGGATAACCCGAGTCAGCGGCAGAAAAAAGTTCGTCATCAAGATGTGGCTTAACGATGCCCCGTCAACGAGACATCTCGGCTGCAAAAAGTATTCAAGAGACCAGGCTGTAGGAATTATCCTGTACATGAGATTGTGTGATGCTGCTTCTCCAGGACGACAGCTTCGTTGTGCTTGGTTCCAGCATCAATTTCATGTGACAAGTAATATCCCACACCCTGTACAGCAGCGTTGATTTTAATAATTGGGCTAATTGCGCCTTGTCTTCTCTCTGGCTCTAACTAAGAAATTGTCGATTTTGGAATAGGATCAATCCGGTTTCCCTGGGAGAGTTGAAAGGGCAATAATTTTCGTTGCAGATGACCATTTCAAAAAGGTGGGATGAGACGCGGGAGGTAAAAGGAGTCAGTGGACAGCAACTGGAGTCTAATGCAAGCTGTTGCAAGTGAGAGGAAAGTGGGGGGTTGCAGGGCGCGACAGTGGTTGCATTGCTTTGAAAGGCGTGCACAACAAAAAAAAACAGCACTGCATGGTTTGTCGATGCAGAGAAAATTCAGTTGCGGGTTTGTGTTGTTGCTATGCCGGTCATGCGCGGAGCTGGTAACTTGCGCTTTTTTCAGTAAGAGGGAGAATCCAGACAGCGCAGTATGTCTTCAACGATGTTCTACAACGATGTAGTAGCTCACGAAGTTGATGGGGGCACTGCTGTAGGTGCACCTGCCATGCTGTATTTACTCAAAACCAACTCCAATACCTCCTGACAGTCCCCTCAGGGATAGCTTTCTGTGTCGCTAGCATCCATAATTTGTACACATTCATATGGTTTGGACAATTCTACTTCTGGGAGGGTAGGAGTCTGGTTGTTGCATGTGATGCACAACGCAATCTGCAGCATCCGTTCGAAGCAGAGTTTTACTGATTTGGGATGCTTGAAAGGTGTTTCCTTGTGGGGGCTACATCATGATCTTTGCATGAAGCGAGACTTCGATGGTTCAGTCACATCCCCATCCCCTCCTCTCCATTATCCGTTTATATCATCTTATGAGATTTCAGGATTTCGAAAGGTCTCGTGGAGCAAATCATGTGATTCAGAATATTCACAGTCGTCTCGTTGAAGTAACAGAGTCTCCCACAAGTTTGTGTAGATCAAATTTCATGATGAATTAAGCCGGAGATAATCCTTATAATCCTTACTGATGATTGGATAAGTTACATTAGATTAATTTCCAGATTTTATCTTTCATTTTACCAAGTTTTTCGGTTTACATACTTTCTTTTAATGCTTGCTTATATGGCAAGCTTACCTTGGGTTTTGACAGATTGTTTTCATGTAACTTGCATGGGAAGGCCTACCTTCCTGGTCACTCTGCCCTGCACTTTCCAGATTTAGCAGAGCTCTGTTGTTTAATGGTTTTTAACCGATGAGCACTGTCACGGTGCAATTTTAATCCAGAGTGTTCGGACGTCGTCAAGTATTCCTCCAGGACCAAATATTTTGGTTCCAGACCTTTAATACCAAATTAACCAGGTTACTCTTACCAGGAGAAGTCCTTCAGCTGCGTACACTTAACCAAGCCGGCAGATACAGCATGCACCTGTGAAACAGTCTGGCCACAAAAGTACACCATCTTCGAACCTCAGGCATTTGTACACTTTGCACAATTACTGTCAAATATCACAAGGAACCATCGGTGATAGCACATGACAAGCTGCACATTTTCTCTTGCCCAAGACTCGAACTACCTGCCACTTCGCAACCAGAATACATGCCGAGCACCTGTATGAAACCATATCGGACACAAGTTAATTTCCAACTGTCCATGCTAGACACGGACTCACCTGATCAAGGAGACGTCCACATCGGCCAGTTCATTTGCTCTTGATATACATTTCACAGTTAAGATAAGTACAAAAGCGTTAAGCATCATAACAGTCTTACATGCCAAAACACGCGTAATGTGTCACAAGACATCATGAATACTTAATACAATCCAACTTTACAGAAGATGGAATCTGAGTGTGCAGGAAAAATACCGATAGATATCAATGCCATCGCATGACATGCAAGTGGAATGTTTAAAAGCGTAAAACTCCCATTCGAAGGTTAACACCTGTCAATATAATTGATGGCGTCAGTTGAACAAATAATCAAAAACAAAAGGGAAAAAAAAAAAAAAAAAAAAAAAAAAAAAAAGGGTCAAGACATACACTGAGTTAACAAGTAATGCGCAATCACACGGGGAGGAAATGTTCAGAATTCATTGTCACATCGAAAATTCCAGTAACGTTTCTAGACACTGAACATTTGATGGGTGGTAATGAAAGGGAGAGTGAGTTAAAAAATAACACAAACATAACTACTAGACGAATAAAAGCAAACATATTAAATAGGACAAATCTGCACAGAATTACGAATACTTGTTGATAAATATATGTAAGGTGTGAAGAGGGGATGAGTATCGCTATAAACATACGCGGAAAGGGTAAACAACGAAACACAAGGACAAACAACTGGGTCGAAGAGAAAACAAGGAAAAGTTGCGATGAGTGAATGGAAAACACAAACCTCAACAGGATAACTATCCATGCATGCACTCTGGAATGTGAGCACAACAGTGAACAGATGCGGCCAAGATAGTTGACAAGGGCCATTGCACGCCAACACAAGGACAGAGTGTCGAAGAGCATGAATGATGCTCAAGCATGTAATAATTCTCCGTTGCTTCGTCCACAAGAAAACTAGGCTCCCTAATCTCCTTCAACAGATTATAAATGGCTCATAGAGAAACTATTCAATCCCCAGCCTGCTAGATATGTACCGACTCCTCCACGGAGCGCAAGATCCATATACTTTACTCAAGAGATGCGTGAGAAAGACTTTTGAGTCTTCCCAAAGATTCTATCTACTTTTGAAGTTGGGGAGTTTTACCCGCAGTATACAAATATTTTCATTGGTTCCTAATAAGGCGATCCCAAATGCTCCTCATATCCCAGTTCCCAGACGATGTATGTACAGAGTCGATTCGAGAAGTGGTACAGTGCACCAGTACTTTACACAGTCTAAGAATACCCAGTAACGCTATCATGATTAAATCTGCAGACCCAAAATTCATGTCACAAGTACATTCTACTCATGCTGCGACTGAAGATATCTGTAGCAACCGTAGATGTGCTTTGGCAGAACATTGTTGGAATCTCTATTTCGGCGGCTGCCTTAAATGAAAAAGCCGAAGAACGTGTCCCATCTGAAGATGGCAAGCCTCGGATACTTGGGGATGCTTTGGGACTCCGTAGTACACTGTAAGAGAAGCGAAGAAGTAAGTAGTCACATTCGTCGAAATACAAGTGAGGTAACACAATTTGACAACAACTCCATCACATCGAAGCTTGCACAGGCTAGCTAGGGAGCGAGAACTCACTCATTGGCTATCAAGCACATAATCTCATCTTCTTCTTCAAAACCGGTGCTCATTGTCATCTTCTGAAGCCTGCTCGTCCTTCCCGTGGGACTCCTGGACGTCCGAGAAGCACACCCGGGGAGAGTGCGATTAACTTCACTAAAGACGACACTATTCAGCATTTCGCTCTGACTTCGCTTGAAGGAAGGAGATGCCGGGGATGGGCTTCGTCCTCTCGGTATCGACGCCGCTGCAGCCGCGGATTTGGCAGCCATCTCCCTGTGATATCGGCAACGAAACGAGCCGGGATGATTGGTCGGGGAACACATACACGTCGTCTTCTTCACGACGGGGGCAGAAGCTGGCGACTTCTTAGACACAAGAGTAGAAGAAGGCAGCCGATTGTCAGGCGACAAAGAACGTCGCTCCCTAGTCCCTTCACTCACAGATCGCTGCCTTGAAGCAGCAGACAAGGCTCGAGGCCGCAACACGGCCTTCAATAGATTCGAGGCGTTCATCTTCCCACGCGCACGCAATTCACTTAACCAAAAAAGAAGAACGCCTCACCAAAACCTCTCGCCTCAGCTCTAGGCAACACACAATAGCAGTAACACTGTACAACAATGAACTCCTCTAATATCACCTCCCGCGCAAACAACCAACTATGCTCGTCACTGAGCCGATTCAAAGCGACCTTTCAAACAAGTAGACAGGTCTTTCCAACAGACTGAATATCTCAGTTGAAAACGAATTTTAACAAATTTGGAGGGGGGAGGGAAGGGGAAGTGCGGAGCGGAACGAAGCAAGAGGTGAAGAGTAGAGGAGGAAGCAGTCAAGAAGCGAAGATTCAAAGCGAGAATTGAAGCAGCGAAGCGGTCCTTTATGGCTTTCGCCCGGACCCCGCCGAATGGCCGGACGGAGCGCGAGCCACCACCCCCCCAGTCATCGCCGTAAGTATGATGTCTTTTCCCTGGCGACTGACTGAGCGCCAGACGCGCCAGTGTCTGGAATATACCGCGGGACGCATTGTGTCGCGAAAATGCCACAGTAAATTCCGCTTCTTACCTCAATTCTCGGAACCACGTAGCTAAACCGCCTCTTCCTCTCTCGATCCCCTCTCGGTCTCTCTTTTTCTTCGATTTCTTTCGGCGAAGGCGTTTTACTTCCTTCCTTTCCGTGTCGAGATTTGTGCCGCCATTGCGAAGTGACTCCTTCTCCACCCGAGTGAAATACCCGCTTCCTCATTCTTTCTCCGTCCTTGGCATTCGTCCGATTTGTGTGTGTGTGTGTGTGTCGCTCTCGCTCCCTGCGTCGTTAAATTGTTCTTGAAGATGATGGGGAGTGGATATGATGCATGATTTCGTTAGCTTCGGCCAACCCTTTTTCATGCCCCCGGCGTGAGCACCACCGCATCCCGTTGTTCCACTCACTCCTCTCTGTTTCTGATGGTGTCGTCTGATCCTCTCCTCACATCCTCTGCTCCTGATTAGAAAAACACTTCGGGATTTTTCACACGGCGCGATCTCACCCTCCTCTGCCCCTGGGATCTACGTTGGATGGGGGTGTCGGCCGTTTGGTAGTGTGGATTTTTCCTTTTCCTTTTCCTTTTCCTTTCTTTCTTCTTACTTCCCGTTTCCTTTTCCCTTCACGTGTTATTGAGTGTAGTTTTACATATTTTTTGCAGCATAAAAAGCAAAAGGTTGGGAGAAAATGAAAGGTTCAATCCATGAAGGGATTTGTTAATTGTTACATCAGTAAGATGTGTAATGTATGTTATGCTTGTGAAAGGTATTGCACAGGCATGTGTCTTTTAATGTTTCCTTTTGTATGGGGGTCACATAAAAACAACAATTAATGACTTCATTTCTGTGTTGAGTGGTTTTGTTTGAATTGAAATGAAATCATGCATGTGAATAAACTTAGGTTACAAAGCACCCAACAAGGAAATAGAATTGTGTGTATATATATATATATATATATATATATGTAACATGAACCCATATCAAGGCACATCAATGTAAGCAATGCAGAATGGTGTCAGCAATAGCAGCAGGAGTAGTGCACTCCACCAACTTAATTCTTCAGAGGAAGAGGAAATTAACAAGAGGAGAGGACCAAGTGGGGCTTGTCTGCCACTTTTAAGTTGGATCATGTTCCCAATGGTGATGGTGGTGGTTGCAGTTGTTGTTGTTGTCATAAGTTGTTGATCAGAGTCTTTGGTTTCAGGTCAACAATTGCCCTTCTTCTCATGTCTTGATTTGAATTCACTGCTGGAAGGATAAGATGAATTAATTTAAAAGAATAAAATATAAACAATACACAACATGCACAAATTCCAATGAAACCCTACATAAAAACAATAATAGAAATAATAATAATAATAATAATACTAAATATTTAAAAAAAAAATCACACTTACTACTTCTACCACTTTTCAAACTTCCATTGTGGTACCATCTCTGTTGAATGTGAATTGATCACATACACAAGGCCTGTTTATCTCATCCTCACTTCCAAAAACTGGGGTCTCTTGTACAGATAAACAATTAATAAAACTAATTAATTAGAAATCCACCACCTTCTTAAAAAATTGATGATTTATTTGTTTTGCAACAGTAAACCAAAGTGTATCGATCACATACAAAACCTAAGCATTGCAAAGAGAGTATGTAGCATGGGGAATACAACAGATTCAAATTTGATGGTGTCATTTGTCGCATCCTTGTTTTAAACACTGAGGGAAATCCACCCATCTTTTGATTGTGGAGTGATTGTTGTTGCTCATACTATTAAAATTGTCACTGCAAATAAATGTGCTTCCAACTTGTTGTGATGGAAACTCATCAATAGAAATGTATCTATTTAGGAAAGTTTCTAAGGCCACACTTAGAAATTATCCATTTGGACCAACTTTGAAAGTAAAACAAGGGTTTTGTTAACATATTGAAATGATGCAGAGAAAAGCTCATGTACCCATAAAGACAACCCAGAGTCATGCTAAGCTGCTAATTGGGCTTCAGTGTAGGACACCTTTTATGTTGTTTGCAGCATCCATGCAACCCTAGGAATCTTCTACTGTTTCTTTCTAATTTCAAGCTATTGTTGCTATTTATTTAACAAAGTTTGAATGAATCACTGTTGCGGTGTTTGTGTGGAAGATTCTCTCCACTGTCTTTCATGAGTATACCACTTCTTCAACAGTTGGCCCTCTTAAAAATGGCATCTTCACATATTTGTAGGAAGAATATTCTGCCTTTTATGATGGTATTGTGGAACGCATTCCTCTATTCATTGCATTTATTCTATTTTGTTTGTGTTCTCTTTTTATTCTTATTTATTTTTTAGGTTAATTTGTATCGTTATGGGGTCTTGTCAATGCTTTTCAATTGAAAAAAAAAAAAGATGATCAAGAATTATGCAAAAGATACAAAGTGACAGGTTAAACCATAACATGAAATCTTGAGTACAAAACAAGTACATGATGGAAAAACAAGTAACTGAGTATGCATGTAATATGGTATTGTAGGGAAAATGCAATAACAACACAATCATATATCACACCATTGAATTTTAGAATAGAGAAAACATATATAAAAATAAGTGAACAATATTGTTTTTGGTATAAAAGGGTTAAAAATAAACTATATATATATATATATATATATAATATTTAAATAAAATATATGACTTAATGATTGTTTTTAAATGTAAAGAATTCGTAATGTGTATAAATACAAGTATAGGATAGCCTAATCAAGTTCCTTATCTCTATGCTGCATCCTATACTTTTATCAATTTGAAATTATCCCATTTTCTTTTCTCAAAAAAATAAAATTACAAAAATGTAAGTATATTATATTTCACTTTATCCGATATCAAAAAATAGAAATAAAAGGTATTACAAACCGGAGCTAAAGACCAGGTTATTTGTGGTACCACTTTGAGACCTTCAAAGATTCCGGGCACAAACGAAGGAGAAGTCTGCATGAACGACACAAAAACACGAAGGGAGAAAGAAGAAGAGACAAAGAGGAAGAGAAAAGATGAAGGAGAAGCAGTGAAGGAAGCGGAAGAGGAAGTAGGAAGGCGGGATGAGACAAAGCGGAGGAAGCAGACGAGGGGAGAGATGGCGATGGTGGAGCATCATCCAATTCACGCCAGCGCAAGCTGCTCTGTGGGTCTCTCCCTTCAACACTTGTCGTCAAGCTTTGCAGATGCTCACATGGCCCTCTCCTACGTCTCAGGAAATCCCACCCCAGGCTCAGCAGGATAAGGAGGAATCCACGCCCCACACATCCGTTCATTTTGTACATTATCATAGAATTCAAGGGGGAAAATAATAAAAATAAAATACGAACAAACATCCACACAACACAAACCAGATCCGGCCGGAAACTTACACCCAGACGTCTAAGAAGATGTGTCTCTTTCCTTGTCGAAGTTTCGGAATCTAGCATCTTATCTCCATCCTGCTCCTGATTCTGGTGGCAGCGTCCCTTTGTTAGATTTATTTCTCAGACGGCAGTTGTTCCCATGCTTCCTGACAAATCCATAATTCTCTGAGCTGAATTTTCTCTATGCTCATCGCTCTCCCGCAGGATCACTGGACAGTGAGTGACGCGACACAGCCGAAGCGGTTTTTTGATGGGAACTAAGCGATGTCCGTTCATCGCGGTGGTAACAGGAGTTCTGACCGACCTCGGTGGCTAAAAATTATGAGCAAGGGCTTAATAATCGGTGTCAATACTTTGCTGTGTCCCGAACAGTTTCCAACGTCCCAAATGCCTAGAGTAGCATTGTCACAAGCCCTAGCGAATGCATCGTCTACATTCTCGAAACAACCAGCGAACTTGTCGCCATATTAAATAATCACGTTTTCTTAGTCCGAGATTAGAACAGAATGCAGTTGGGAGAACGAGCTACTCCCCTTAAATTCCAAGTTATCTCCCTTCGCATGAACCTCAAATTATTGCCATTCCGTAAACGACGACAAATTACCGAATGATGGACTGAACTTTCGCCATTCTCACCAAAAAGATCCTTAAAAAAATCTTTTGAATTCTCGTCGAAGTGCGCTTTTTTCTCCAAGTTCCAGATTATGGAAATATCTTTTAATGTCAACTAATCCACTTTGTGATGCAAATTCGAAACAATTGGGCCTCCGAAATCGATTCGAGTGTCAGTGGGAGTGTGTGTGGCCCCGAGACTTTCCACCCATCCCACAAGGCAACGCTTGCACTGGAATATCAACGTCTCGTGCGCGGGGGCCCGGGTACTAATGTGAACCCCAGTGGGGTGGCGGAACCCGGGCCCACGGCATAACAGAGCGCCATGTGCTTACTAGGCTGAGGAACCTGACACCTGCCATGCCAGTCCACGTGAAGATCCCAGGTGGAGCTCATCGTGCGGATGGCAGAAGCTGGCGCGGTGCCAGACGGCGCCATCGGCGGTGATACCCTACCACCAGTCGCTGTCGTGTGAGGTCCACCTGCTACCGCGCTGTCATTCTACCTCCTACGGCGCTGTCGGTTTCGAATGATGGGACCTTGCTTTTGGAGGGAACACGACTTTTGTGTTCCAGACAGTCGCTGGCTGAAGCGGTTGGTGTAATAGTGAGCCTTAAAGTAATCAAGTCCAGCCTTTTCACTTTTGCTTACCTTTTTACCCCTCTGTTTTGACACCTTTTACAACCTCGTAAATATGTGATGCATTGGCGAAAAGGAAGAAAATATCTCCAGAGAATACAGAGAAATCCTTACAACCTAAGCTCTTAAAAAGAAAATTAATATATCTAGTATTTCTACAAAAATTGGGTATTAATGTGATTCAGCCACTGTGTGAGTTAAGAGTTTGTGATTTCCATTGAATTCAT